TCCAGTGATCGCACCATGTCGACATCTCCCGCTTGTACCACAGAGGAACCGTTCCCCGGGCATCCGGTACCATCCACATTGACTCCCAGGGCTCACCACCCTCGTGCTTCTCTTCCGGATCTCCAGGTCGGTGGAGCAAGCAGCGGGTGTGAGCATACCCGGCCTCGGTGCGTATAATGTGCTGGCCCATCCCGGCATCGCGCCAGAGCTCCTGATAGATCATCTCCCGTATCTCCCTGGGAAGCTTCCCAAACAACTCGCTTTGAATCTGACCATGTTCAGGCGCTTGTACATCCTGCGCTCGTTTGCCGTCGATCCAGAAGTCCGCGAAAGAAGCGTCGCAGACGGTAGGCGAAGCCAGCGTGAACCAAGAATCACTCCCAGCGACGAGCCTCGGCTGCTCTCTGGCCCTCCAAACCTCAGCGTCAACCGAACCACTACCCTTCTTGCCAGTATTCGTTCTGCCCGTCAGTTTCCGTACCAAACGAACCGTCTTCCTGGTCAAGGTCCGCACGCCGAGCCGACCGGCCCGTTCTCTTTCGTCACTCATCTCGGTAAAAAAAAAAAAAAAAAAAAAAACAGTCCAGGTCGCCAACAAACCAACGCAGACACCAGACAGCGAACACACCGCGCGCACACTGGACAGGAAAACAGGTGCGAAAGAAAAAAGAAGGGAAATCAAACGACTCTTAAAAGCGAAGCGGGCTCGCGGCGCGCCCGTGCCAGCCCAGCAAACGCAACAGGAACAGGGCATCGCATCCGCCCAACCAGAATTGCGGGCAAGCAAACGGCGAAGAGAGCGATCGACCCGCGCGCACAGCAGGTAGAAACCCCCTTTCGACCGGGGCATGGGGAGAGAGGTAGGTCCAACAAACATTTCGGACCGCGGACGCCACATCCGAATCTGGGCCTGATGTTTGCTTTCCGAGGCGAAACGCGCTCAGGGTTGTCACCATATTAGGATCGAAAATAAAATGGGGATTTTATGAAAATCAATTCATATGACTGAGCGGGTATATTCGTCACTAAAAGATGCTATTTGACAGTCCTGACAGATGAAACAAACGCCTGCTTTCCCCTCATCCCAACCTCGATCATCGTACTGTGAATTGCTTGCGGCACGGCGAAGTCGAGCTGGTTTACTTCTGCTCCTGCTTCTTGCCGCCGCCAAAGAGGCCGCCGACGTAGCTGCCAGCGCCCTTGACGCCGTCGGTAGCCGTGCCGGCGACGGCCTTGCTGCCGTCGGCGATGCCACCGGTGGCGGTGTTGACGGCGCTGGAGCCCGGGACGGCGGTCGGGACGTAGCCGCCCTCGTCGTCCTTGCCTTGACGCTCGGCGCGGTTGATGCCCTCCTTGGAGGTGAGGTCGCCGATGGGCTGAAGGAGGCCGCCTTGGCCGACCTGGCCGGCTGCGAGGTTGTGGACGCCGTCTTGGAGGGTGTCGACTTGTTCGACGCCGGTCACCTTGGTCTTGCCGAGGGTGTCTGGAAGTTCACGAGTTAGCGATGTGCCACTACGGTTTGTTTCTAAGAAGAACGGGGTGACATAGAACGGTGCTTACCCTTTGTAGTGTAGCTAGCCTTGTTGTCCTTGGTGAACCATCGCAGGTAGAAGTCCTCGAGCCAAGGGACCCAACTCTCGTACTGCTGGTTGTACGTCTGCTTTGCCCACTCCATGTTGTCTGGTTTTTGATATCGAGATTTGGTGGAAATGTGTTATTATTCGTTTGTGAATTTCAACTGAGAATCGACTGAAGTCTAGAATGGATCAACAAGATGAACACCTCAAACGGACGAGGAACCACGAAAGAGCTCTGGCCTGATATAAACCCCTCTCTCAGGCCCAGACACACACACGCACACGCGCACACACTTCGTCAGAGTCGTCACTCGCCATCCCTCCTCGCCAACGCGTGCGTGCGTGCGTGCGTGTGGCTGATGATGCCTGTGGATACGTCATAACGGCCGTGATGGAGGCTTCGCTGCGGGATGCCATAGGCTGGCCGCGCAGCCAGGCAACCGGGGAGGATCCCAGTCGAGACTCAGAGCTGACCCCTGCACGGTTCGGTGACATCAAATCCTGGAAGTTGGCAGCCACATCAAAGACCTCTCTCACGCCACGCAGGGTGGTTCCAGAGTCCAATCATGACCAAAAGGTGATCTTGAGAGTCTGGGATGTCGCTTGAAAATTTGCAAGGCTTGGCTATCGACTGGTGGATACTTGGCTACTGGCCAGAAGATAGCCGTTGGACTTGGGTTGATGCGACCAAGGCTGCGAGTGATGCGCTTCGACACGTGGGATGAAAGGGCGGGCGAAGGTGACACCCAAAAAGCTGGTCAGGATCTCGATTGCGGGTTGCGACGTCATCCCGCTGCCAGAGTGGGTCCGTGCTTGACGGAAAGTGGGGATTGGCGGGCGGCCTGGGACGGCCTGTGACGGCCTGGTGGAGACCGGCACCGGCGCCGACGTTCTGGTTGCTGAAAGCCGGGACGGCCCCGGTTTTAGGGGAATCCGGGGGGAAATCGCACGGGATTGTCTTGTGGCCTGTAGGCGTTTGGTTTCTCCTATCTGAACTGTTGAAATATGGCTGGAAAGAGAACAACAAAGCAGTACTTCCTTGTTTAGGTCAAATGCTCTCCCCAGCCGTTCCTAAAAAGAAAAGTTCGCGGAGATTGCTTCGGTGTCATATCTGACGTAAGGACCGGGGAGTTCTTCATCAATGTGCTTTGAAATAGGCTTATAATACGTCAAAAATACACTATTGTGGTGGCACCCACCCTAACTCCTCCATCGGCCAATGTATCCAGGGCTTGTAGCTCTCGTCAAGCAACGCCCAGGCCTGAGATATCAGATGCTTTGCCCATCCTTGCAACCACCACTGGCTCTCGAGTTTGCCCAAGACAATGCAAAAGTGAGCATAAATAACAACGGCCTCCTGGTTCGTCTCAGGTGTCTTCAGCAAGGGGAGAAAATCCTCCGCGACAAAATACTTCCAGATGAACATGTCCATAATATCCATGCCATGGCCGCCACCGTTCAGCGCGAGCGAGAGAGGGTGTCGTAATTCGTCGATGGCGTAGTTGTAGATATCTAACATGTTCTCATCCCGGCAGTTGCTGCCAATGAGCTTCCTGAGATTTTCGAGATTCTCTGGGTGTGCCGAAATCTCGTCTCGGGCCGTGAAGAACCTTTCCGTCGCGTACCGAATGATAGGTAGCAGAGGTCCGTCGTATATCCTCGCGTTCAAGAGTTTTATGAGCGAACACGCCCCAGAGAGCAGGAAAGTCCAGTCCGGGAAGGCGGATTCCCAGACGACGGCTGATTCTTTAAGGTAGCGCCCAGATGCGAGAGCTGAAAAAAACAAACCTAAGGTCAGCTCTTGACTCTTTTCCTGAATATTAATAGGCTCTGGAGCAAGTCGACTCACCGAAGAATATCGTCAACAGAGAGAAGAGAAACAGGTTCTCGGCGTTCCTTTCGTCCAAGCTGCTCATCAACCCCATTGCTTCACGGCTGGCGAGTCGATGGTACAGCAATGCCCTAGCCACAAGTGCCTCCTTGCGTTCTGGCCGTTGATGGGCCAGGTGTAACGCCGATATGGACAGCAGCGTTCGCATCACGTAGTCACATTTGAGAGCCAGCCGTACCACAGACACTCTCCACATCTGGCGTACCAGTGGATCCGTCGACAAGGTCATGTAGACAGCACTGGTGAAGTTGTGTATCAGCTCCAGGTCCACGAAGTTGAGGTCTTGGTCCACCGCAGGGTCCAACAACTGCGGCGGTAATGGTATTGGCGATGATGCATTCTGCTGTAGCGAAATGTGCATGCCAAATGCTGGAAAAGGCGATGATATTGGATGGCTCTTTAGGAAGTCGCATGTTACCAGATGCCTAACGCAGTTCTGACAAGCTGGCTTCAGCTCATCGCACTGGATGGTGTGACAGGTCAGTATGCTAGTGCTATATGCATGTTGTTATGGACTGAGCTGTCGAAGTGTACCAGAGGACCATGTGTTTTCGGAGAGGATAGGAGACCGGAGAAAGAGTACAGAGTACACAACAGGGATGTGTGCAAAACCGAGTTGGGACGAACCTTTATCTTCCGCTGCTTGCATGTCTTACAACCCAGCTTGGACTTGCGGTGCGGCCTCTTTGAAATCTTCAAATTGCTGCTATCCGCGATGATCTCCATGCCGCAGGCGGGTGTGGCACCCGATCATTCGCCCAGGGTGTAGACGGCACCAAATCGGACTCGTGCGGCGCAAGGGTTTCAAGTTTCAAAGTATTCGTATTAGCTGTCGGTACTGACCCGGGACAGCGGATCGATCTCGGGGCTGCGATCTTCCGTGCTCTCAAATGCCGGCACAGACAACCGAGTGCATCATCAGTAGCAGCCTTGATGTTTGATTGAGAGGGAGTCAACGTCGCACTTTTTTGAAGGGCGGTGATGGGTCGTGGCACGACGCGGAATCCACGGGCGGCGATCCGTAAACAGACGGGAGGGTCTAGTTACTCCGCACCGCTCGGAGCGCTCGTATCGTTCGGTTCGTGACTTGCGCTTCGGACGCTAAGCTTAATCTGGAATAAGAGTGGTTCAACTGAATTAGGAGCTTCGCTTGTAAGTCAACGATATTGGATCGGAAACTCCGAGATACCTTTGAGGTCTCGATGCTTTATGTTTCGTGAATAGAGAATAAGTGCCCCGTCACTTATCCAAGAGAAGACAAGACTTTAAGCCTGGTGCGATGGATTTGGTGCGGCAATCGGCCATTTTCAAAAACCCAATGATGCGTGACTTGAGTAACACCGCCGAGTGGCCCGAATGGTCTCGCTGAGCGAGGGAGCCGAGTGCATCGCTTTTTGGACAAATGTGCGAATGTGAAACATGACTTGCCTATCTCGATTCATTGGGAAGGCGGCTACTTGGACCGAATTCAGGCATTCCACCGCGCTGAGCTACCATACGGCTACGTTGGTCATCCATGTTGCAAATGAAACTCACGCAACCTTCGAGATTTTGAAGCCTCCAGGAACTCTCTTCTGAAACACCTGCTCTGGGTCATATTCGGCCGCGACTTCTTTGAGCAACTTGATATTCTCGGTGCCATAAGTGCTCAACGGATCTTGGGTACTGTCCGCATATCCCAGGTACTCCCACTCCACATCGATGCCTTCCGCGACGCTGTAGTCCTTCAGCTCCTTTCGCAAAGCGACGAGTTGCCGACGGGCCTCTTTCTCAGCGTCTACAGAGCGAACCATATGCTGCATCTGGAAGAGAATTGCATTGCACTTCTCGCGATCCATACCGATGGCATTACCGCCCTTCTCAACCGAGTGACGGAAGAGCAAAGCTGGCATGGCTTGGAAAGTAGTGTAGTTGAGAAAATCAGCGTGTTGGGTGTTCTTCCAGTTCTCGATGAATTTGCTTTGGGCTTCGACAGCGCGACGTATGAAACGCGTATCGTTCTTGCCCGTCAAAGTCAACCAGACCTGGCGGTACCCAGTCGGTTCCTCGAGTTCAACCGTCATATTCAGGTGACTATCGTGGCGGAGCGTATTCATGGTTTGAGGTTGGATGTTCCGGAAATCGTCGTAAGCTGGGGCCCACTCAGCGTTTGCGGTATCATGAACAGCAGTTGACACGACGGTGCCGGCTGATGGTGAGTAAGCCCAGAATGTGACAGCCGAGCCCTTGGTGTAGTTGGGAATGTTGTCAACCCACTTCACGTAGGCGGCAATGTGTTGCTCTGTCGTGCTGAGAGGGTAGAAAATCTGACCGCCCCAGAGTTCTACAACATCAACAGTCTGCATGTCGATGCGGGTGACTATGCCAAAGTTATTCGATCCTCCTTTGAGGGCCTTGTGCAGATCAGAGTTGGTCTCCCTGTTGGCGTTGACAATCTTGCCGCTGGCCAGGACGACTTCGAAGTTCACAACGTTGTCGCAACCCAGACCAACCTCAGTGCTGAAGAAGTTGTTGCCGCCGCTCGTGAGGAAACCGCCAACACCGACGGTAGAGGTGCGACCTCCTGGAGCAGTCACGCCGTATGGCTCAAGCGAGGAGTAGACATCGCGCCAAAGAGCACCGGCACCAATGCTCGCGATCTTAAGATCTGGTGAGTATTGTACCTCCTTGATTAAGTCCATGTCAATAGTGATACCATCGGCAACTGCAAAATTAGAAATATGTCTCATGCTAAGAAAACGGCTCTGAGTGTTCGACATACTGTTGGAGGCACCAGCCCACGTTGAATGACCACCGCCGCGAATAGCCCAGTTACAGCCCATTGACTTCAACTTCGTAACAGTCAGAGAAACCTCTGCAGCTGACGATGGTTGAACGATGAAACCAGGGCTTAGCTGGGCCGATACAGAGAAGTAAGACTCATCACGAGCCTTGTAAGCCTCTGTACCCTGCCGGAGGACTTTCAGCCCGGCCGACTCAAGAGCGTCGCCCTTTAGCCCGAAGTATCGTTAGAAGACGATAGCACGGTGGCAAGGTTTTTCTAATACTCACAAAAGAGGTGAGCATAGCTTGATTTGTTGCGCATGTAATAAACGCCATTAGCCGAGGGGTACTAAAAGTCAGTTACAGAACTATGATAATTTGTACGAGATTGGGTTGCAGGATAGTTAGGGAGTCTTGAATGGGGATCTTGTTGGTTCTGTTTTCGCAGGTAAGACCGTAAGCATAGAAAAGCGATACAAGGAAACCGTGGGGTGTGTCATCTTCTGCGCGGGTCTTTTGGCATTGTCGCCGAGACGCACTTCCTCCGCTAATGTCTACTGCTGACAACAAGTAAGATCAAAGTAAATGCACGTGTATGGGGACTCTGTGGTGCCCAGCCTGCATGTGTTGTTACAAGGTTACACGGCAGAGTGCTGTGCATGCAGATCGACGAAAGGACAACAATTCCAGTTGGAATTCTGCGGTTCTTCTTACATTGAGCCAAATATTTGATGATCAGCATCCAAGAATTCATCAAGTCCCGGGACCCTCCCCGGACAGTTGAACACACAGTAATTCTTGCATGTCTCTTTATGATCCCTCGGATGCAGAGCCGCTACCGATGCGTTCTGTACTGCAGATGTGGGGGTCTTCGTCGGCCATCGGGCAACTGATCGACGACAGTCGGGCAGTTTTCTCGAAATGATACACTAAGTACTTCGAACATGGTTACATGAACACCTATTCACCTCCCAAAAGAGGAAAATGCCATAATGAAGTAACGGACGCTGCACCGTACAATGGTTGACTAGATTTTGGACAGAACCCTCGGATACCTCCCAGCCGAAGACTCCAAGTCGTTGGGGTCTACGTAGCTCTCGTTTAATTGCTTGAGATCAGTCACTCCCAACAATCTCATGGTGGTCTGTATCTCGTCGCTCAAGACTAAGAAAACAAGTCAGCAACATGTTACGCCTGCCTCGCTATTGATCGACTCACTCGATATCGCCTTGAGCACGCCTTCTGTACCATAGGCACTGAGCGCGTACATAAACCCGCACCCGATACCCACCGCTCGCGCACCCAAGCAGAGGGCCTTGACTACATCTGTGCCTCGCATTACACCACCGTCAACGTAGATATCGAAGGATTTGAACACATCGGGGCAACGAAGTCGAATATCACGCAGAACTCTGACAGAGCTCGGTGCGTGGTCGAGCTGCCTCCCGCCGTGGTTGCTCAGGTAAATACCATCAACTCCGTACATCATCGCCTCGAGCGCATCTTCCCACGTTTGGATGCCTTTCAAGATGATCAGTCGGTCGCCCCAGAGCCCTCGAATCCAAGGAATGTCACTCCACTCAAAGGAAGAGCAGTGGTGGCCACGGAGTGTGTCTGCCTCTTCTCCTGGGAATGGAGGGTGTGTCACGCTGTCCTGTGCGACGACACCTGCCTCGTAATCCAGCAATGCCTTGAAACGATCGTCCACATCCCGCTTCCCGATTACCGGGGCATCAACTGTGACAGCCAAAGCGTCGAAACCGAGCTCCTTTGCTTTCAAGATGAGTCCTTCGGCGTCTTTCTTCACCTTGGGGACATAGAGCTGGAACACCATCCCGCCGCCACGACCCGCCGTCTCCGCTTGAAAGCACTCCGTCAAGTCTTTTGGTGCCACGGATGAATAAGTGCTAACACATTGTGGGATTCCCATACGTGCTGCTCCTCGAGTCAGACACTTCTCACCGTCAACGTGACCCAGGCGAGCTGCGGCGGCGGGAGCTATAAAGATAGGCAGACTACTCTGTAAACCCATGATTCGACAACTCATTGAGACCCTTGACACATTACGAAGAACGCGAGGTCGGAAAGAGACGAGAGACCAATCGGATTGGTTACGAAGTAAGGACGTATGCGATTCAGCGCCACTGGTGTAATACGCTTTTGCTTTTGGCGTAAGGGTGAGAGCGGCAGCTTGGGCAATATCGGAGAGAGACTGGCAAGCTGAAAGCGGGAGCACCGTTGCTGAGCCTTCCGTTGCTTGGCTTTGGCTTCGGTCGGGATACTGGGACCTCTTCTTTTCAGCACTCGGTGACCGAATAACAGGACCAAGCCTCTTATCTGGTAATGGATCAGCCCGCAGTTTCTCATAAGCCAATGAGTGAAGAACGTAGATAACCTCTTGGTAGATGCGTCTCAATCGTGCCTTCAGCATGTATCGGGTCATATTCTTCAGTTGCATCCTTGAACTTGGTCAACAAGCTGTCATCTCTTCGTTCAACACACATACCTTCCCTGCATAGCGCAGAATCACACCAGCTCCCCCTGGGTGCTCATCCAAGAAGTCCGTCACGTCATAAACGTGGCCAGAAACAATGATCCAGCATGAGTTCCTAGAATTATGCGTTGCTACCTCGTCGATTGATAACATCTTGACTGCCTGGACGAGGTGAGGTGAAGACCAGGCGATGGCGACTGTGTCAACGAACTGTATAGAGAACCAGCTATCGAACTGTTTAGATAACAGCAATCGTCGAATTTGATTACTCAATTCGCTTGTTGTTATCGCATATGTGCAGATACTGCAAATGATGCAAGGTGGGGTGGGAAGCACGAGCTTACCGAAGCCTCGGTTGTATTTTCCGGCAACATATCCATACGCCGTTTCGAGACGTCTGCCACCCCTCTTTTCAAATCGTATCTGCACTACTTGGGGCCAAATGAAAAGAAATCTGAAATTGTTGACATTTTGCTAGTCCAAAATACGTGGGATTTGTAGTGTGAATTGGATAACTGCATATCCTTGCAGCTATTTCTTGGGAACATAAAGTGTCTGCGAGTTGCAGTAACCGATGATTCCCGCGAGTCCTCCCTCGACCCCGAAACCAGACTCTTTGTGGCCTCCAAACGGTGCACTGGAACCGACATCCATATGATTATTGATCCAAACACTTCCTGCCTCCAAACGTCTGGCTACCTTCGCTCCGTGGTCAAGATCTAGTGTCCACACAGATGCCCCAAGACCAAGCTTGCTGTCATTGGCTCGCTGAATGACATCTTCCTCGTCCGACCAGGTGAGAAGCGGAATAATGGGTCCTGCATAACTTAGAATGACGTCGGGTGTCGTTTGAGGACCGAAAGACTTACCGAAAGGCTCTTGAGTGACCACGGGTGCATCATCAGGCGGGTTGTCCACCACGACGGGGACGATGAAGTAGCCCTTGCCAGTCGTGGCAGATGATGTGTTACCGGAGACTATCTTGAGGTTTGCCGATCTTACTTCTGATACCATGTTTTGGATCTTCTTGAACTGTGTTTCGTTTTGGATAGGTCCCAGAAGAGCGCTTTCAGCAAAGCCGTCACTAGGCTTGAAGAATTCGACCACCGCGCAGAAAGCTTGGAGGAACTGAGGGTAGATATCCGTATGAATATAAATACGTTTGATCGTTAGGCAGACCTAAAAGACCCTTAGCACAAACAAACCACTACCCCAAACAATCATTAGTGGATGCCCCCTCTCACCTGAGACGTGTTGAAGAGACATGTTTGGGCAATCTAAGTGAGATTAGCTTCATTATTGGTTGAATCAGAGCAGACGGCTTTGAAATACTCACTGCTGTGGCGGTCGACGCGACATCAACGTCTGGGAAAACAATGGCAGCGTCATTTCCGCCTCTAAGCGTCCGTCGTATGAGTTCACCGAAGAATGCTTTGCAGGATGAGTGGTCAGTGTGAACTCACAACTCAAGAGTGACACGTTTCAGGCCTCCGCTGCAACTTTCCATAACCTTCCTACCAGTCTCAGTCGAGCCTGTGAAACTGATTTTGTCAATGCCAGGATGTGCTGTCAGCCATGGACCGAGCCTATCGTCGCCACTGAGGCATTGGACTACCCCAGGCGGAAAGAATCGCTGAGCCAGCTCGCAAAGCTTCAGACCACAATAAGGAGTGAAAGGGCTTGAACAAATTTAGTGGCTTGTATGAACATTGCGTGCGAGATTTTCAAAAGAGTGACATACGATGGCTTCAGTATGATGGCATTACCGGCTACCAGGGCAGCTCCGAGCTTGGTACAGGCTATGAAACAGAATGTGAGCCATCTTTTGTCTTTGAACGGGTGGATCAAAGGAGCTTACCTAGATTGATGGGGACTAGGCAATCATCTATTTTAGCAATCCCGACCCTATTCCATGGGAAGCCTACGCGGAGTAACACTCACAGTTCCAAGGAACAATAGCACATACGACCCCCAAAGGCGTATATCTGGTTACGATTTGACGTTTTTTGGTATCTTCAACCACGGTCTCTGGCAGTGAAATCTTGGCCGTAGCCGCAAGACGATCAACAGAAGCAGATACCTCCATTTGCGCACCCCACATCTAAATGCATTTTGTCAACAACTGATTATCAGAAGACAGGCTTTAGCCAATCTTACAGGTCTGCCCTGTTCCTTGACAAGCATCGTGGCGAAATCCTGTAAGTGCTCGCCAAGTGAAGCTGCGAATGCAGCCACGGCCTTCCTGCGATCCTCTTCCGGCACGAGACGCCATGTCCCAAATGCCTTTCTCGCTGCCTTAACTGCTCGATCTACATCTTCAGGCTGTGAGATGGGGACTTCGGGATTCGCTTCAAGGGTGGACGGGTTGATGCCATGTCGAGTCTCCGTGGTGGTAGTTGAAGCCCCGTCGATGATGTTACAAAATGTCGAAAATGAGAGAGTTGAGTCGGTTCCGTTCATGATGATGGTCTTGTGGGATACGTTGAATGACTTGCGCTGTTTCTTGGGAGTATCTTCGTTACCTTGTAGATTATTATCACAGGCCAGGTTAAGCCAGTTTAGATTCAATTCGCATCATATGAACAATCCTAAAATGTGATAAAGTGCTCATCATGGCTCGGCTTCTATTTCCCGCCATCCAAATCATCTCATGTATTTTCCTTCCGTCCATGAACATCAGTGAAGAAATTAGGTATAGAATGGGTACCCTTTGCCGGACTCTAGGCAGCTGATGTCTAGACATCATGTCACCGTCATTTCGCGCTTTGAGTTTCAGGATTTGAAATTCGTCGTCTTCCTTGTTGGTGACCCAGTAATATAGCGTGGCTCAAGAGCGAGCGTTGCCCAAACCTACCCCTAAGAATTCACAGTGACTGCGTCAAAATAAGAATGACAGTGATATTTCACACTCATCTTGGTGGAGTGGAGCCGGGAGTGGATGCATCATGCGGGGGAGCTTTGTTGGTGCATGGCAACGCTCGATAGCATACAGTGCACACGCACTGCCCTGGAGAATGGATGCAACTTTTGGGAGCTTGGGGCTCCTGAATGCACCTCGGTGTATCAGGCGCACGGTTGAAATGATCTATCAAATCAGTCTCGGCGAACCGCGAGCCCTTTTCCGGAGACCGTGGAACACTTGTGTGCCAACATTCAATCTAGCAATCTGCGAGTGACATGTCCAGCGAAGAAAACCATTAAAGTCTATAATTATTCGTCCATGTTCAAGTCTATGACGAGACGCCAGAAGGCTATTCCCTACCTCGGTTGTCTCGACTTTGAATGCCAAACCCCACTCGACTAAACGGGATTGAGGTCATCGACCAGGCACTTAATCTCGTAAAAGCAAGCACTCACCGTACCGCTCGTTATTGAAACCGACGCGATGGTATTTGACCCTAGCACGAATGGAAACGCCTCCCGACATGGTGATGTACAAGATGATCAGCCCGGGGGGAAGTACGGATACCGGCTAGGACATAGGCTTGGAGAGTACCAAATCCCCGACGTCGTCCTCAACTCTCCAAATCAGAAAATCAAAGTCATCACGATTGGAGCCGGGATTAGTGGCATACTCACGTCATACCTGATACAGAAACACGGCGAAAACATCCAACATGTAGTTTATGAGAAAAACGGTGATATCGGAGGAACTTGGCTTGAGGTTCGTCTTGTTGTCTCCCTTCAGCTAGACATCGCTGACGATCTCATAGAACAGATACCCGGGTTGTGCGTGCGATGTACCTTCACACGCGTATGCATTTGCTTTCGCCTTGTATCCTGACTGGCCAAAGTACTTAAGTCCATCCGAGGACATCTTCCGCTACCTCGACCGCGTTGTTGAGTGCTTTGGGCTCCGAAAGCAGATGGTCTTTAACTCAACAGTAACAAGCTGCGATTGGAACGAAGACGAGTCTCAGTGGCACGTCCGAACCAAGAACTCAGAAACCGGGGAGATTCGCGAAGATGTAGCCAACATTGTGATCGGCGCAAACGGAATTCTCAACTCATGGAAGTTTCCCGAAGAAGTCGAGGGTCTGCATTGCTTCGAAGGTCGACTGATACATACCGCACGTTGGCCGACCGACTTTGGCGAGGAGCAATGGAAAGGTCGCCGGGTGGCAGTCATTGGGTCTGGAGCAACGAGCATGCAGGTTGTCCCAACCATGCAGCCATATGTCGAAAAAATGGACATCTTTGTCAGGACGCCGGTATGGTTTGCAGAGTTTGCAGATCACAGTGGCGACAACTTCGACTGTAAGCATTACTCCATCCAAAACCCTCTCAGCAGCTTGTTAAAGACATTACCCCAGACGCTACATACGAGCGCGAGTCTATGAAGAGCGATACCAAAGCTCTTGTTCACAAAGCCAAGTTTATCGAAGACAAATTGAACACCGCGGCCGGGTTACGGGCGTTCATGGTCCACAGCGCCGAGGCACGCATGATTCGCGAGCACTTCACAGACCGCATGCGCAAGTTCATCCACAGAGACGACATCTTTGAACAATTACTACCCAATTTCGCTGTTGGCTGCCGAAGACTAACGCCTGGTAACCCATACATGCGCGCAGTCCAAAAGGAGAACGTTCAGCTGCATAGGGGTGCAGTAACAAAGGTTACACCATCAACGATTATTGCATCCAACGGTGATGAGGTCGAGGTCGACACCATCATCTGCGCTACCGGCTTCGACGTCAGTTTCCGACCGCCTTTCTCAGTCGTCGGACGCAACGGAATTAGCCTACAGGAGAAATGGAAGAAAGTCCCTGAAGGATATCTCAGCGTGGGCGTACCTGATATACCCAACTACTTCACGGTCGTGGGGCCGTCATTCCCCATCGCCAACGGAAGTGTTATGGGACCTCTCCAGGCTGTAGGGCGGTACATCCTGAAGGCTATACAAAAGATGCAGCGAGAGAACATTGCCTCTATGGTTCCAAAGCAATCCGTCGCGGACCAGTTCAATGAGCATGCGCAGGCCTGGATGGTCGGGACCGCATGGGCGGACTCTGGGTGTCGATCGTGGTACAAGGACAACAACACAGGGCGCGTCAATGCGATCTGGCCTGGTAGCAGCTTGCACTTTTGCGAACTGATCGCAGAGCCGAGGTACGAGGACTTTGAGATCAAGTACTCGAATAAGCACAATATGTGGGAATTCTTGGGCCTAGGCTTTACAAAGAACATGATGGCGGAGAACGGCGATCTCAGCCCTTACATGGCGTTGGATGCTATCGACAGAGAATTTGTCGGATATGAGCCGGACAAGGATGCCGAGGACGCAAGAGTCAGGAGGATGGCAGACATGGTTCACGATGGACCAAAAAAGAAGGGGAATGGAGAAAGCGCAACGGCGGAGAGGATGCCATTTTCGAACGGATCAATTTGAGCGATTCATTGGTGAAAGAGTATGGAATGTGTAAGCAGACGGGCTGATATCGGAAAGCAGTCTTGGGCGCCCGGCTTGCTCTTTGGGGATGGAAATGCTGGTCGCTATAACTCTACTACATCGTCTAATGAAATTGAGGAGGAGGAAACCATCTCATATTGAGAAACATCTACACTATAGCCAGTAAGTTTGTATGATAAATACGTAGGCATTTGGAAGTTTGACATACCAAGCGAGCAATCGATATGTGGGTATTTTCTGGCAAAGTCTTTGCTAAGCTTCCAGTTGGATGGCTGATCAATTCCGAAGGCTGCTAAGGCATCCGCAACCATCATTTCTGGACCATATGGGGCGCTTCTGCTGGCAAAGCCCTCATCAGATGGCCTGAGATGCGTTCTAGTCGGTCCAGGAGACTGGGTCTGTCCCACCCTGCAGTCCATTTCAGCCGCGAGAGCTTCTTGGACCAGGGCAAAGCCGGTGTATGTCATGCCGCCGGCAGGATTGACGGGCACTTTCAAGTATATCCATTCACGATTATGCAACATTGAATTGCTGCCATCGGCCCGACCACCGCAGACACGAGGAAGAATGTGGTAGAAAAACACATCGTGAATGTTGACAGATACGCGCTTTCCAGGCAACTCAACGACGGTGTTTAAGACAATGCCCCTGCTCATGGCGTCAAGGTCAAGTTTGGATGAGTACAGGATCATCTGATCGCGGATGGATGGCCAGTTGATGAAGTCGATGACTACTGGGTGGAAGGGAGTGGCGGATTGGAGTGGTGTGGGTCGAAAAGGCACGGGAATTTGTAGTCTGTCTTCGACGGAGTTTGAGATTCGCCAACGCATGACGGATTCCATGTACTTGGAGAAGTACTGAGGCTCTGGTCGTTAGCAATCAAGAATAGCTGGTGTCAAGGCAGTGAGTGAAGACACGTACAACGCCGTAGATGTATGGTTCCAGGCCTGCAAGAGCGCCTATGACTTCAACAGCAATTGAAGCAAGCTTGCTCACCAAGCGTGCTTGGTTGGCCATGACGAGGGGATGGCCGATCTGATCCTGAGATGTGCTGACTGATTTGGACATGACATGGTTTGCGGCCAGTTTGACTTGGTCCGCGAATAGGCTTGAGTTGTTGATGATAGCTGTCATCTCGTTACCCGAGGGCTGGAGGTGTTGGAAGGACATCATGTCAAAAGGTAGGGACATCATGGTCGGTGCCGCATTTGAATCAAACAGTCCGAAAGGGAAACGTAGGTTCGGCGAAGCACAAGGAGAGCCCCAGCTGGGCATGGAAGTGGTAAGACTTGGCATCATTGTCAGACCCGCCGGCAAGAAAGCGGAAGGTGATTGCAAGATACTGCGGGTATCATGCAATGACTGGGACACGTCGCTGGTGTCTGCATGTTCTGGAGCTGACTGCAGCCCCATAGCGGCTCCTCCCGAGCTCGCATCCGGAGCCCCGAGATTAGACGCAGAAAGATCGGCAACATCGGCCGCAACGGAGGGACCCGCCCCCCTTGGCGGGACATCGGTCGTTGACGAAGGCTCTTCTTCACTCCTCTCTAACGTGGGAACTTCTTTCTCATTTGTTGACTCCAAGGAAGACTTGCTTAGCGTTGAGAATATAGGATCATCTACTTTATGTCTTAGTTGCTGTCTTTGGCTGTATCATAAAGCCTAACATGGGAGTTCAGGCTAGGCGCACTCACCAGCGGCTGCCGTGGCAAGGTTTCCAACACTCAAAAGCTTCTGGCGAAGGCGGAATAACGCGTCTTCCACTTGCTGTTTCTCCTCCGCGAGCTTGAGGTGGGCCTTGACCAGCTCATCGTACTTCGTTTGTTCCGTAGCATCTTCATTTGGAGTCTTCAAAGCTGCGACCAAAGTTTCCATCGGGCGAATGTACGCAGACTGTTTTTCTCTCGCACATTGCTGAGAGATCCTGTTCTGCGTACGCTTTTTCTCGGCCGCTGACTCTGACATGCCCTGAGAGGATGCTGCTCGTTTCCGCGAGCGGGGCCCGTCCTGGCCCCTTGAACCGTTCGTAGAATCAGTTTCCATCATGCGCCGGCCGCACTCTTGAGAAAGTGTCACGATCTGTGCTCAAGATGTCGCAGTATTCAAGAGGGACGGTGTAGATATGGCAGTTGAGGTCAATCAACGTCACCGACGCGAGCTGGGGAAGACGAAGTCCTCGCAGGCACAGACCTGCTTGTTTACCAAGCCCCTAGGCGGGGATTTCGGCCGCTAAGGCTGCTGGTTTCTCACCGAATGAACAAGGATGTGTGGCTGGCTGTCTCACCGAGCTCACGTGAAGGTAAGGGATGAAATCAAGCCCGGAAAATGCAGCCGGAAGAGCCATGTCCGTGCCGTCTCTTGTGATTTCCAGGCTGCCAGTGCAGCCAACCAACAGCAAACCACCTATTGCTAAGGTCTTCATACGCTTTGACATCCCGTACCCTCCTTGAGCCGTCCAAAACAAACCTGATCCTTAACTAACCTGGATGCTTTGCGTTCGCACTGTTAGATCTTCTGCAACCCACTAATGCACTCCACAAGACAGGGGATGTTTAGCTCCTCTCTTCCCCGCACAAGCCTGAAGCCGCTTGGGAAGGCCTGCATATGGGAGACCAGGGGCTGGAAAGATGAGAAAAGATGTTTATACTTGCCAACGAGTGTGTTTTGTTTTTGAGATTTCCGCATCATAGGTCATCTTCGGGCGCGCTTGTTTGACACACTATTTCCGCACCACGCCATTCACCTGTGACCCTGCTGAACAAGAACGTTTGCCTGGCCGGTATCATGCCTCCGAGCTCTCAAGGCCCGGCCGGCAGCCCAACGGCTTCGCGGCGCGTGTCAAAACCTTCCGCCCGCAGCCAGCCCCGGGCGTCCATGGCATGCCTTGGATGCCGTCAAAAGAAAACAAAGGTAGTTTGACTCCCTTCCTAATGCCATGACTAGGTTGACGTAGGCCCAAGTGCGATGTTCAGAATCTAGAGCCAGGAACAGGCTGTACAGCCTGCCGAAATGCGAATATTGAGTGCATGACTACGCCTAATGGCGACAGGAGAAAGTCAGACAGCAGAAGTCCTTCCCCTCAACTTCAACATTGTGTTAAATTTTGTAGTAAACGCATGCTGATATTTGAACCGACCCTATCTGCAGACATGGCTCGCGAGAGTACATCGTTGCTCTGCAAGGAAGACTGGAATCCCTCGAAGCACTTATCAGGTAAGGCCTTCACTTCTGGCGTGTTTTATTGACGACCACTAATCACCATATTCAGTCAGAGTGGCATAAAAAACCCCCAAAACACAAGTAGGACTCAAGATCCTCAATCGGCTCTGTGCTCGCCACCGGATACATCGTCCTTGGATTATCCACACGCCGAGCTGATGGACAAGGATAATTCGGTGAGAGATGTTAGTGGCGATGAGCATTCGGAGTGAGTCTCTCAAATGAATTTCTCCTTCAATGGCTGCCCTGGTCTATGTTGCGATCAACAATCCAATGCCTTTGGCACGTTCACAGCTAAGATATTGCAGCCAGCGTACACCAATATCACACCACGAAGTTCACGAAGACGACGATGAGGATCGGCGTGAGTCTCCATCGGATCTATTCAATGCGGACGAGGCAGAGAATATAGACCCGCAATTGGGAAACTCGATCGAGCTAGGTTCCCCGGTCCCTCTCGATGCCCATACAGCAGCCAATGCACCCGTGCCTGAGACCATTTCTCAACGGCGTCCAGAACCTAGTATTGAGGAAGTCACGCAGAACTTGGATGCAGATTCAAGCCCTGGGCAGGTGAGATATTATGGTCCGACCACTCGACTACATATTCAATCTCTACCGGCAAACAGCCTAGGAGACGGCCCCATTCACGCAGATACTGGCCCCATGTCGAGCTTCTCCGTAGACATGGACTCTTTACAACTGAGGGACATGCTGCTAAAGTCCTACTGGAGCTTTTCTTCTCGTTCAGTCCCTGTTGTTGACGAGTCACTTTTCATGGCCCATCGTGCATCCGGACAACGCTCCCAATTCTTTTCTCCATTTTTAGAAGCTGTTATGCTAGCATGCGCAACTCGAATCAGAACATCAAGCTCCGTGCGGAAGCTGGGTCGTGCGTATGCCGACCTGGCAAAGAAGGATATTGTCTTTGAGTTAGAGAGACCCACCATCGCCACTTTGCAAGGGTTCCTGCTGCTGAGCGACTTTGAAGCAACGTCTGCCAGAGATAGAATTGGATGGACATACAATGGTACGTTTGCGTCGTGAGATATTTGATCGGAAGCTAAGAAAGCACCCCAGGCATTGCGTGCCGGCTGATATTCGACCTTGGTCTTCATGAAGATTGCTCTCGACTGATCAGACACGGCATACTCGTTCAGGCAGATGCAGACTTGAGAGTCTCCTTGTTCCTATCGGCTTTCGTGTATGACAGGCTATGGGCACTCTACCTTGGTCGCCCCAGCTGCGTCCCAATGAATTGCCTTGAGCAACGGCGGCCTCAAATTGCGCCGGCCAAATCAATAGGCCCACTTGAGCATTGGGTAACTCTCTGCAAGTACATATCAGAGGTTACAGAAAAGCTGAACGGTTTTGGCCCACCCCTGGACCATACCTGCGTCGATAGCCTGTTAGATCTCAGTGCTCGTATTTCGGCGGCTCACGACAGATTACCGCCGGGTCTTTCTTCGAAACAAACCTCCGAGCTCTGTGTCACCGCATACGGACTCAACATACAATACCACGGCATTCAAATTGTCCTCCACCGAACACTTGTCAAAGTCCTCTTACAACACGATGCCAGCAAAGCAGACGGCCTCGACCGCGACGAGCAGATCAAAAGCTTTCGCCGAATTCTGTACGATAATGCCGTATGCATCTGTCGGCTTCTTCTAACTTATCGCGAGATGTTCGGCGTTGAGAATTTCATCACTGTCATGTTGGACAATATGTACATTGCGGCAAGTACGCTGGTGTCTCACATATTGCAGCCACCTATGATGGGCGAGCAGGACGGTAGCTATTGCGAGAGCTCTCGGCTGCTTGGATTCCTGACTGAGACGATGAGAGATCTCCCAAAGTATTATCCCGTTGTTGAAAAGATGGGCCAAACACTTTCCAGCATCACTGAGAACACAATACTGGCCGGTTCCTTCGAATCAATGAACTTGAGCAGTGGAACTCGGAACCCGGACAGTCACAGCATCATGGCCAACACAGTGGCTCAGCCCGTATCCGGCTCATGGGGATCGATGGGGGCGTTGGTACATGATGACTTCCTTCTCGGCCAGGGAAACCTATTGGGTGATGGATTCAGCCCAGACCCAAGGCTCAATGACAATTTCTGGTTTTCTGATGTGACTGGAGGGCTTCTACAATGAGCCTTAAGAGGAATAAAGAGATCGATTCCATGAAACAAAATGTTCCAATCAGCTCCCGAAGAGAAATCATTTAATGTTCTATGTTGTTTCCTTTTCCTATCCCAACCTGGAAAGATGACAACCTATAACAGCACATATGCGTCTGATAGCAAGTATTCACCGTCTCTAGTGAAGTCCCTTCATAACGAAGCCGCGGTATGAGGAGCGGTGACTATGGATGCCCTATCTAAGTCTAACTTGACCCGACTGACCATGCTCATCGCATCTGTGGAGACAACGAGAAAGTTGAAACCTTCCATTGCCCGCTTCCTCGCAACCTTCTCATCCAACGCGAGACTTCCAACGACTATACCTCGCTTTTTTGTCGCCCCGATTATCTTCTGCAGGGCTGCCTCGTAGACTGGCTCCTCTCCATCTGCTCCCGAAAGTCCCAGTGAAAGTCGGAGGTCGACAGGGCCAATGAAAACGCCAGAGACACCGTCAATGGAGATAATATCTTCGACGTTTTCAACTCCCTCGGTAGATTCAATGATGGGCAAAATTGCTATTTTGCCCTCTGATGCCCGTTGAACGTACTCCCCCACGCCGCCGCCTGGACCATTAGGGAGACCCCAAGGCGCGCTGCTTGGTCCGAAGCTTCGTCTACCGCGCGGGGGATACAAGGCGTGTTGGGCAATTGTCCTCATCTCCGCCTGATTATTTACCATTGGCACAATGATACCCGCTGCACCGCTGTCGAGAGCCCACTTGATCCATTCAACTCCTTGGGATGGAACTCTGACGAGTGGGAAGCATGAACCTCTGGACGAAGCCACAACTCCATGTACCATGGCAGTCATCTGTTCTGGTCCGAGAGGGGAATGCTCCATATCGATGAATACAAAGTCATATATTACTTGACTGACCAGTTGAGCGACCGTCACTGAAGGAATGGTCAAAGCAACACCTAGAGCAGGCCCGGCCTTTTTGACCACTGCATGTATGAAGTCTTCAGGGCCAGTGCTGCTGCACTGAGCGGTCTGGCGGGGGTTTTGTTGTCGTTCTGTTCATTGTGATACATGTTTGCATGGAGAAGAATGCCCCAATTTTTGAAAAGAATCGATTGAAATGAACACAGTCTATATAAAACCTGACAGGCGAGTGTCGGCAGCTGAGCTAACTACAGAGCCATGGGTGCACCCGTGTCGGCAAACAACGTCCGGATGAGGTCGGGGTTCACGGGTAAAGGCCGTTCCTACTTCCCGTCTGTTTTGATACGAATTAGAACCGAAAACATGTTCCTGCGCATAACTATTCTTGCGCGGCAGAAAGCTAACGTTTGAGAACCTTATTTTGAAAGCCCAGCTTGCCAGCTGCAGCCCACACCGTTCTCTCCCCACCCGGAGTTCCCACCATCTTTGACAGTTGTCCGCCTCATGTCCCGTCGATGTTTGCCTCCATAGCTCCCGGTAGCCGTGGCGCGATGTAAGACCGCGCGATTGTCCCACATGACGAGATCGCCGTCATTCTCCCATGAGACAGTCAGCATGTACTTTGGCTGAGAAACCCAAGCCAAAAGCTCATCAAGAAGTGGCTTGCTCTCTTCCATCGTCATCCCATCGAAGTGAAGGGCATAGGTTGTGACGTAGAGATTCTTGCGCCCTGAATCCTCATGCAGTTGCACGAGACGGTGTCGTGACATTGGCATGTCCAGTGGCTCGACGTCTTTGAAGATGTCGGGAGCTGCCAACTTGCGGTTGTGCATGAGAGAGTTGTTGGTTATCAAATGATCAATCTTCGCTCGTAACTGCTCGGGCATGTCGTCGTAGGCAGTTCGCGAGTCCAAATACTGCGTCTCTCCCCCTGTGCCCTTGGGTGGCAGTTCGACGGCGCGGAGTAAAGAGTACGAGCATCTCTGTGGGTTGTAGGCCATGTCCGTATGCCATAACAAGTTTCCCTTGTTCGCCCCTAGACGCGCGGGTTCCACGTCAGTCAAAACGTTGCCCTTCTCATCCAGATTTGAGACGTCGAAAATTTCAGGCTGGTGAGGAAATCTCATTGCCCGACCGGCGCGGATGTGCGCCTTGACGTCGTCAAGTTCCCCAAATTGGCGTGAGAATTCGATGTGCTGCTCGTTGTCGAGGTTGGCTTTCCGGAAAACGAGGACTCCATACTTGTGCACTCCGTCTAGAATTTCGGCAGTGACATGCTGTGGTACTGGCGCTTCCCACTTCATGCCCTCCACTGAAGCACCGAATGTCGGATGTAAAGGGGTGAAGCTCAAGGCTGGCTGAGATGTTGCTGATGGCATATTGGAGGTAGATGTAAAAGTTTCACGTGTGAAAGCAAAGATTTGATCGTGCAGTTGAGCTTCTTTGGCCACAATCACGTTTGACTAACTCAAGCCTTTGGTTGTCCTCCGATTTATGCTTCATGATGTGGCGTTCATTGTCGCCGTTACCCTCTCTAGTCACTCTAGGAACTTTGAGAAGCCACCCGGAGAGTCCAACATCCCAGTCATTGGTATGAAGGTAGTGTGTGGTTGCCCGGAAAAGTCTCAAGTCAATTCCGGTGTATCGCCTAACCCCCTTTTGCTACGCTTATCACATTAAATCAATGACCGGCTACATTTTCCGGTAGCTTGTGAGCTCACAACAGGCCCACAGCCACATCGTCACTGCGGGCCCTAGTCGCTCACACATGAACACTGATCTCTCCCCCAAATGAGGGGAAGCTTGGGTTGTTCACCTTCCTACTCAGTTTTTGTATCAGAAACCAACCAACGCCTTGTTTCCCCTCTACGACCCCAATCCTTGGCAGCACGACGATTTTCGCAGCCATCATGGGTATCTGCTCAGCCTCTTCTCAAACTTTGCTGCCCTACCCCAGAGAGCAAGTTTATGCTTTTGTCACCAACCCACACAACTGGCCACTCACGTACAAAGGCAGCGGCGGCATCCAACAAAAAGACCTCAAGCTACCGTTGACTCTCGGATCACAATGGACAGAGAAAGTTGCCCTTGAGAACAACACTTACTACGCCAAATGGACTTTGATTACTGCCATAGAGCCGTGGAAGTGGTCTTTCCTCCAAGAAAACGGAATCGGAGCTACGGACGAGGCCATTACCGATGGTGTCGATGGGACGACTGTTATCGAGTACGTTTTCCAGAAGGCAGAAATGGAAGTTGGAGGCACGAAGAAGGAGGCTTGTATTTTCAAACGCACACTCAGCATCGATCTTCCCCGCAAAGGGACACTTCCAGAAGACCTTCTTGCTGTTTGCATGAAGACAGCGGGTATCGAGGGGTACCACGACGCCGTGGCAAGGGAACTTAAGAAGATTCACGGATGAGCACTAGACAAATAGGACGAGCCAGTCTAAGAATCGGAATCTGCAGCAACTGCCAAGATGCCAGTTTAGAAGGACCTGGAAGTGACAGTGAATAGAATTTCTCTCGGTCCTGTTGGCAATCATGAATCAGGGCAACGGCATCAAATCTAGCGTACGCTCGGTCCAGCGTTGACGAACCTAGTGATTCAGGGTTGGTAATCTGTATTACGTGGATGATAGGTAATCAATTTACAATTTGTTGTCCTAAACGATACCGTGCGTTCCGCAGACCATGCTACATATCTCATATGAAGGAAATTCCCCCAAAAGCGCTCGTGAAGTGATTGAGAGGGGGCTATGCAGCTCAGGAAATGCTATCGCACAAATTCTCAATGCTTGGAAAAGTTCCCAGCTGTGAAAACAACCCCCGGATTGCTGGGGACATAGTAAATAGCCGTCTTAGCGGCAAGAGTCAACAGCAGCGTCAGCAGTATCATGGCCACAGAGAATCCAAAAAGCCCAAAAATCTCCAAAGGAGCGATGCCCATTTTTGCCCTCGGACTATCTCGGGTTTCGGCACCTGTCTGGGCATCGTGGTGCGGGACGTACTTGAACTCGTACTTGTACACTCCGTTCAAGCTGTCTTTGTTTTCGACAATATAATCCCAAAACAGGTTACGGAATGTCTGTGAAAGCGGGTTAGATGACACGCTGATTAAGACAACCAACAACGATGGAGGTCGGGGGGACTCACCTTGACTTGCCACCTGTCCCAAGCTGGAATCGATCGTGATAGATACGTGATCACCATCAAAGCCCAGCACTGACCTCTAACAACTGCATCCCAGTACAGTCCTGGTTTGCCTAGTCCAATCTCGTCACACATTTGGTCGCCATTGATGAACCGAGTCCCCGCCTCGAAGAACTCTTTGGGCTCGTGGATTGGAGCGACTCCATCCAGTGCAACAACAAGATTGTTGGCCAATACCCTGGAGTTCTTGCTCGGAGCAAGGCAGGCATTCAGGAGCGACTCCATAGACGCAAGAGCTCTCTCTGGCGTCTCCAAGACCCAATGAGGGGTGCCGAGGACGTACCCAACCCATCTCCATAGTGCCATGTAGTCAAGTGCTTCCTGCTGTCGCACATAGATGCCTTGACGGGGCAAAGCAAGCCAGATGAGATTTGTCGAGAAGGCGCAGACAGATTGCATGGAGTCGAGCTCATTGATCGGTACACCAAATTTGTCGACGTCGAAGTAGCCCGGCCGCTGTTCGTTGAGCTTGAGAATGCGGTTCCGAACCGACGCGTGTAACAGACGGACACGGACAGCCGACGCGAAGCCGTCACCTCCAGGCTTCACGTCGTCGATTGATTTTGTAACTTGGAGAATGAGCTGGAAGGTCTCGAAAAGACGGTTTTTGGCAACCTTCGCCGAGTGGCCTCCAGTGCGCACCAATGTCTCGGCCGGTCGATAAGAGGCTCCCTGCAAACACGTTGATTAGAACCACATATCGGACGATACAGAAGTTGTGCTTACGGTGGTCGCAAGAAGTCCCTGGAAAGCGAAGCCGGCTACAGCAGCGGGAGCATAGCGATAGAACACGTCTTGGCCACGCTGTATCTGTTCCCAGTCAACCCAGTCGGGCACTGAGTTGATCTCATCCTAGAGACTTTTCAATCTCTCGTCCTTGTGCTGATTGTCGCGGAGGAGGGCGTATGTGTCTCGGTCTGGCTGGGGGTTCTCTCCCTTTCCCTTTGCGTACCACCCAGCTTGCGGTGGTGGGGGAGGAAACATGCCATCTAAGGCTGCGAGAGCCTCCGAACCGACCTCATCGAACTTGTGCTTCAAGGGGTCGAGCTGCTCCGGGGACATATGAAGCGGCGTTTACCAAATTTGTACCCATAAGAGTCAATGAGAGAAGCCTTCTCTTGCCGAAAAAACGAAGCCATGGCGGCGAGAACGAAGAAGACAAATTGGACGAACAAACTTCCGGCGCAAGATTTCGAGAAAAACGTCAGTGCAATTAACTCGAGTATCGGCTTATTTTAACATGCTTGAATCAGCGGAAAGCATCAAGCTAAATGCGGCGGTGTTAGCATTAGAAAGGCGTACTCTGCAATTGGTGGATGTAGCGGGCCCAGCTCAGTGACAGATCGAACTACATGGGTGCCGCTCAGGATGACAAGGTAATATCTGACTGTCCTCGTATCTCGCTTGTTTCGAGCCAATCATAAGCAGCCACTTATAACCACTAAATGCCAGAGTCGCATACCGGTATGCTTCACTGCATGTACGGCTTTCAAGGCAAAATCATGTTGATTAACACGTGAGGCTCCTCAGATAATTCTTGTTTTCCGGGGATAGCCGCTGGTTTCTGGAGGGGTCCAGTGGAGGCCGGACACCCGGGCCCCTTCACCACGGCTCCGGTGTAAGTTTCCGGGGTGTGTTCAGCATGAGAAGACACAGACCAAATTAGGTGACGAGATGATTCTTCGTTCTCCCTCAGCTGCAACGTCTGCCGTCGTCGATTCGGTGGTCCTCAGGCTCGTCTGATACTACCCAGCATATCCATTCAATTTCTCACATCATGCGACTCAGTTTTCCCGGCGTGGCTGTTGTCACTGGAGCAGGATCAGGTAAACCCACATCGAGTCATCTAGTCTTGTGTTAAGCTAAGAGCCATTCAAGGGATTGGCCAAGCAACAGCGAGACTTTTTGCCAAGGAAGGGTGCAGACGCATTGCTATCGGCGACATCAAAAAACATCCAATCGAGGAGTTAAAAGCCGAAGTTGAAGAAAAGTACTCTTCCACAAAAGTGGCAGCTTTTGAGCTTGGTTAGTCTGCTTCATGGTGATATGGCTTCCGGGCGAAAAGACTCATGTGAGCAGACATTGGATCAGAGGAATCAGTGAATTCCATGATGCTAGCAGCAGTTCGCGAGCTTGGGCGCATAGACTACGCTTGCAATGCCGTGGGCATCTTGCTCCCTGGTCCTACGGACGAAGTTTCGGTTGCTTCTTTTGATCTTCAACAGCGCGTGAATCTGAGGGGAACATGGCTCTGCCAAAGGGCCCAGATCAAGCAGATGCTTCAGCAAGACCATATACAAGCAGAGGATAGTAACTTTCCGGCTAGAGGATCAATCGCCAACGTCGCTTCTATGTGCGCCTTTATGGCCTATGACCATCTTCCTGCTTACACAGCTAGTAAGCACACTATCCTGGGATTCACGAGGTCCGATGGCCTTCGCTATGCAAAGCATGGCATTCGGGTCAACGCCATCTGTCCTGGTGTTATTAGAACACCCATTCTAAGTGATGTCCCTGATAAAGATGTGGGTGTTGATGTCCAGGGGATGGTGAGTGGCATGGCGGCCGGAAGACTTGGAACTCCTGAGGAGGTTGCGGAGTGTCTCGTTTGGGTCACAAGCGGCAGAGCAAGCTTCGTGACTGCTAGTACTATCGCTCCGAATGGAGGTACGTTGCATCAGATGAACCAAACGGCTTTTGACGCAATAAAAACTGATGGATATCCAGGTATGATTGGCGCTTGATGTTCAATTTCGGCAATTATGACATTGAATAAAGTAGTTTCCGGGGCGGTATGGACCTTTAGGTAGATGAACATAGGTGGTCGAAATGAACCTATGAGTTGAGAAACCTCTTTTGGGAATCGTGTCTTATCTCCATGGCGTCTTTGAGTCTTGTCCGATCTGTTCACAATGCACATGTCGAGCCCTTCCTGGGTTATCAAAGAGAACGCCATTAACTATATATAAACCCAAAGTCATTTGACTTCGATTTGTGTCAAACTTTTATCAATAGTCTTCGTATCCTTCTTCTGGCGCTTCGAAGTACCACGTCGTATCTTTCCCCGGACCCTCCTTGGTTGAAAACCCATTTCCAAGGTACTGAAACCGGTTCCCCGAGTGATATGTGTACTCCCAGTCTTCATAGCACACATGACTCATCATGTGGAACCAGTGAATGCGGCTTCCTGGGTGCAATGCAACTATTCTGCCATCCACAGTGCCTCTCTTGAACCAGCTGCGACACGGGGTAGCCCATGCCGTCCTCTTCATGAACTCAGTGATGTGCTCATTGAAATCATCCACCGCCTTCGCAGAAGGTGATACAGCCTTGATGTTCTGGGACTGAATCTTCTTCATCATGTTGATGATGTATTTTGTTGCATGTTCGATTATCGGGAGAACCGAGCCGTGACCCACGGGTGCATTGGGGCCAAGAAAGACTACCATTGTTAGTTTTCAGTCACATCTGACTACACCGCCAATGAACACGGAAGGCTCACTGAAGTAGTTTGGGAACCCAGGGACAGCAACGGAGAGATAAGCCTCAGGGACATCTTTCCACTTCTCATCGATGGTTTCGCCATCTCTACCAATCAGCTTGAAGCGCGGACAGAAGGAAAGATCAAACCCAGTGGCGCAGATCAAAGAATCAACTGGTATGATCTCGCCGTTTATCAGTTGAATACCATCGGGGTCAATTTTCTCAACATTGTTCGTCACGACACGGACGTGGTCCTTCGTGAGAACTTCGAGATACCCGTTTCCAGGCGTGGGACGACGGCACCCGACCGCAAAGTTCTTGGGCATGAGGTAGTCGAGAATGTCTTCGTTCTTGAGCTTAAGTCTCATTTCATTGCTCGAATATTCTCTGGCTTCCTTCTGATCGGCGCTGTCTGCGATGACCTATATTTCATGAGAATTGTGCCGATTGAAGATCCAGATTGCTTACGAAACGAAACCTAGAGTTCAATTCTCCCTCAATCTCCTTACGGTACTTCATGTAGGCGTCTGGGTTTTCTTTGAAGTTGGACTTTTGCTCTTCCGTAACTAGGTTTAAAAGCTCAGCAGTCTGAAAAAACACAGTTTGAATAAAATTTTGAGATTGCTCACAAGAGAAGTTCGCCCCGCCTGGGCCGGCATGACTTTGGGCAAACCCTGCTGTGATCCATGTAGGAGACCGAATGAATGTGACCAATGACTTTACAACTACACAGAAAGGAATGTCAGAATGCGAGTCGATCGTTCGTTTAAAATCGGCATTTCGGGCTTACGAGGTTGCAGCGTTGCGACGATTTGAATGCCTGAAGATCCAGTACCCAGAACGGCCACCGTCTTCTCAGCAACTTGGTATTCCGGGTCCCAGGTTGCGCTGTGAAAGAGATCGCCCTTGAAAGAATGAAGGCCCGGTATGTCGGGCCACTTCCAATTGCTGCAATTGTTAGTAGGTATCATCTTTCCGTTTGAATAGGAGGCTCACTTCAAAACTCCAGTGCCATTGATTAGGACATGGCCCCAATCATGAACCGTGTTTCCCGTACTAAGGTCTAGACACTCCACGTTCCAAACTCCAGATGCTTCATCCCAACTGGCAGAAGTCAACTTATGGCTGAGTTTGATGTACTTATAGAGCTCGTATTTCTGGGCGATGCCCCTGAAGTACTCCAGGATCTCATCCCATTCAGAGTAACTGGAAGATATGAGCAATTGTGGCTGTTGAGGCTAAGAGCCTTGGCTTACTACTGAGTCCAGTCTGGGTTGGGCTCCCATGTGAATTGGTAATTGTGAGAAGGGATGTCGCATGCGCACCCGGGATATCTGACATGTTTCAGCAGTTGGCAAGTCTTACAGACTTGGTCAATCACCTGTTCTCAAACCAGGTCCCTCCAACATCCGAGTTCTTCTCATAGATCGTCAACTCGAAGTTGTCCATATGTAAGTCCATGTGCCGTGCCAGGTTCAGACCACTGGCTCCAGCACCAACCATCAACACACGAAGTTTTCGCGCTGTCCCCAGAGGGGAGTCTGTCACAACGTAGTCGCTGGCCGTGGTGGTAGCTGCGGCTGTCCCATTCGCCTCCATTTTGAGATATTGGGGCTCTTGAGTGAACGGAAAGATTTGATAATGTTAGCTACGTCGAGTTTCGTCGGAATTGATGAAATGAGAGTCACTAAGTACCACCAAAACAGCGAAGTGCGATTTCTTCCAAAGTTGAAGTCGCTTTAAACAAAGAGACGCAAGAAAGTTCGTGTTTGTGCAAGTGTTGATGTAACTTTTCGGCAATAACCTTTCCTCAGCGTCGTTCACGCGACAACAGATAGCGGATGCTTAGGTCAGTGCTCAATTGCACTTGTCAATGAATCTTCCGCTGACGTCGGCTACTGATGCTGTGCCTCCATTCCAACCACTGGACCCAATAGAATGATTGCTTGTATGATGGCGGATATACTTTGCCGGTGCTGCACAGAGGGCAGTATGGTATGACGTATTGACCCCTCATGTGTCGTCTGGTCAATACGACTGGCATCGGAGAAACCATAGGCTCATATCCGACGTCCATTCAGTACATGGCACAGCAAGAAATAATGTGATGAACTGCTTCTTCTAGATATTGCAGGTGGTCTTGATACGATGAACCTGAACTAATCTTAGAATCTGCACAGTCACGCTCGACATTTGCCCCGTCTCGACATTCTTCGCCATTCTTCACCATTCTTCACTATTCTTCAACATGTCTCACCCTGGACGGCTTGAGGGAAGGGTGGCCATTGTGACCGGTGGCGGGGCCGGGTTTGGAGTGGGCATGGCATCGTGAACAAGTTCACATTCGAGGGAGCTAAGGTACTCATCTTTGATATCAACGAAGACGATGCGAAAAAGACCGCAGCTCTACAACCTGAAGGCTCCGCAGTGGCTATGAGAGGTGATGTCTCCATGGAAGCGGATTGGAAAGCCGCCTTGAGCCTTGCGGTGGACACTTTCGGCAAATTAGACATCATCGTCAATAACGCTGGGGTTGTTTACAACGCCTGTTCAAGCATCGAGACGACCGAGGCCGACTACGATCGAGTCATGAGAGTGAATCTCAAGTCCTTGTACTGGAGTTCTAATGTGGCCATTCCGCACTTCTTGGCTGAGAAGAAGGGTGGAATATTCATCAATATCTCTAGCATGGCGTCAGTCCGACCCCGACCAACACTTGTGTGGTATGGGGCTAGTAAGGGAGGTCTTACCAACGCAACCAAAGGCCTAGCGATTGAGTGGGCGAAGCACAATATCCGCTTCAATGTTATTCATCCCGTCGCAGGGGAGACCTCCATGTAAGTCGGGAGATACTCTGATTTCTATCTCAAGCTGATGTATTCACTAGGGTCCCATTCTTTCTTGGCGGACATGATTCTCAGGAGGGCCGAGACAGATTTATCAACACCATTCCTCTCGGGCGATTCGCTCAACCTACGGATATTGGAAACGCGGTTGCATTTCTAGCCAGCGATGAAGCATCCATGATCACAGGGGCATCTCTAGACGTCGATGGTGGCAGAGGAATTTAGCAGTCGGAGACCGCGGAAGCCCCGCAAAGTGTGATTCGAACCAAATCGGGCAGCTCTCTTAGCATCCAGTTTAGTTTTAGTGCTTATCCTCAGTTCATCAACCACCCCCGTCGATAATGAGGCGGTGTATAGCATTCAGCAAGTGTCCATTGATATATCCAATCAAGCCCGAAAGAAGCCCGCGCCAAGGTTTCTGTGTATCACCGTCTCACCACGGGTGCAAGCAATGACCAATGTGATGTTGCACAACACGGTCCGGAAACCCGTTTCCGGTCAGAAATCCTCCTTTCCCCGCTACACATCATGGAACTTTGGTAATGGCCTGCAGTTGCAAAGCTGGTCTCAGTGATATAATTCATCCTCGCCGTCTTGAAGCAAAAGAACTAGGCTCTTCTAGTTTGCCAGCCACGCCATCATTCTGTCATTCGTGATCTCTGTCAAATCCGACTATCTAAAGTCATGGATGATCTGGAGTCTAGCCAGTCTCAGTATCAACATCTCGGCGTCCCTGACCCGGAATGGACTGCTGTAAGAAATCCAAACATTGATTCTTTGGAAAAATTCTGACATCTACAAAGTTCTACGAGAAGAATGCTGCGAGAGTGCCCCACCTAGTTGGCTCACCGCAGCATCTCCGGGATGTCATGGCGGAGCTCAAAGTTTACGCTACAGCAATGGCTCCGCAGTTTACGGGACTGACAACCAAAGACATTCAAGTAAAGGTCTCGGACGGAGTTGACATACCTTGCCGTATCTATACGCCAGTCGGGGCAGAGACTCCAGCTCCAGGGCTTTTGTAGTAAGTCCGACCAGTACGTAAGAGAGGACGTTCGCTGTAAATCTCACCGGCTACCAGCATACATGGCGGTGGTTGGACGCTCGGTGATCTCGAGGGCGAAGACATCGCTTGTAAAGCGATTTGCGAGTACACCAAAGTTGTCGTCGTATCTATGGACTATCGGCTGTAAGCATCAAATACTCACGCTCAGACAACTGAGATTGAAACCAGTAGACTGACTAGCCCTCAGGGCTCCCGAGAACCCATTCCCAAGAGGCTTGGAAGATTGCTGGGATATTTTGCTTTGGGTAAGAGCCACTTACTTCGAGACATGCATGAGAGATGAATTGACAAGGAGTCTCGCCTAGACGCTGGAGAATTCTTCGACACTGGGTATAGATCCAAACTGTGTCATGGTCAGCGGTTCCAGCTCCGGAGGAAACTCTGTAAGTTCTCCAGGGACTTTTAATTGAGGAAAATTAATCTGAACAAACCTAGACTGCCGTCATCGCCCATAGGGCTCGAGATAAAGGAATTGCATTGAAAGGTCAAATTTTGAGGATCCCTGCAACTTGCCACATCGATTGCTATCCACCTGAGCTCAAGCTTCGCAGCATGGAAGAGCTCAAAGATGCACCCCTCCTCTCGAAGCGCTCTATGGAGACATTCTATGGATACTACAGCCCGTCAGATCCATCCAGTCCAGAGGTGTCCCCTCTTCTCAACCAGAACTTCAAAGGGTTGGCGCCAGCCTATCTCCAAGTCGCGGGCATGGATCCGCTGAGGGATGAAGGATTGGCCTACGCCGCCAAACTCAAAGATGCAGGGTGAGATGAGATCCGAACGTAGCTGTTCACAACTGACCTTTCCAGTGTGCCGACAAAGGTCGACATCTACCCCGGCTTGCCCCACGCTTTTGGCTATTTCCCAGAGCTGTCGGCAACACCCAAGTTTTCTATCGATGTCATCACGGCCATAGTTCAATTGATCGGGGGAAATCTGTGAGCTTGCTATGTACCTAGAAGATCGCTAGTGCGTTCGGCGGGCTGGCTATGCCCCCAGCAACATTCAATGGGCAGCTTGTCACAAAAAAGCTTCAACGACCGTGCTTCTTGCACTGGTCAGCCAGCTCTTCGAGATCCCACAACTCTCCCAGAGGTGTTCCCCATAGAGCCAGAGCATTGTCATGGATTCCTAACTATTCGTCAGTGACGAGGTTGCGTCATCAGAGGGTAATGGTCATGCTCACTGTAGAGGCCTTCCGCTGGCCACGCCTCGAAAGCCATGTTGTCGCCCACCAAAGCAGAGAAGTGATGATCCCACAACCACTTGATGCTCTCGGCAGTACCTTCGACTCCTACATAGTTGTGGTTCGTATTGCATCCTGCCACTCTTCCATCTGAGGTAGATTCGTTGTACCACTTGATCCACCCAGTTCGGACCATTAGAATGTCGCCGACTCTGAGCTTCACGCCCTCTTCCTCCGCGATGGCTTCCAAGTCCAGGTGAGTAATACAGTGCTTGCTGGCCGCACTGTACTCGATGCCTCTTTTCTCAGCCCATGCAACGTAGTCAAGAAGCGCACCCCTGCCGACAACACCGCCTCGTTTCGACCATTCTACATGTCAAAATGAACTTCATGAAACGTGAGATCATTGTGTGGCGAAGATTATCATACCTTGAATGCCGTTGCGTAGATTAGGCCTTTCCCCGCTGATCTCATCATGAGTCAAGCCGTTGTAGTATTTCCCCGAGTCCTGGTGGGCCCAATGTCCTATCGACGTTCAATGGGTATGAGGTTAATGGACTTATGTCCTTACTTACGGAGTCCGTCCCATTGGCTGCTTGTCTGTGTATTGATGCAAATTTCGTCATTGTGTCCCACCAGGGCAGGCTTCAGATCCAAGAAACGGTGCTTGATCTTGGTCCGATTGTGACCTGGGTCCTCGATCCGTTCCAGTGGCCAGCTTGCAAATCCTTAAGTTAGCTACCACTGGCTTTAGACAGAATGAGCATCTTGCTCACTTCAGTGAAACTGAAACACCGGTCTGAATCTCTTTCCTGGCCTCGAGTGTGTTGGATGGGGTTAGAAGGTTAAGAGTCCCAACTTGATCAGCTTTGTCATCCTTATTCCACAGGCCCCAAGCGCAGCCGTGAGGCATGCCATCGACGGGAGGGATGTTTTCGTAGGTGGGGAGCGAATGGGTAGTCATGTTCATAGAAGGTTTCAAGATAGTTCGAACTACATGAATCTCGTCTCATCATCCGAAAAATAAAGCAACACCTCTCTTATGTATTTGACTCTTGATCTTGTAACAAGGGTCTTTACGGCCCGCGACGGGCCTCCGCGTGAACACGGGCTGATACATGCATGGTGTTCGCCGTTGATGGGTAACACAACCAGATTGATATCACTATTGGACCGAGGAGTCTTTTTCCGACGCCGAATTGCCAGGCACGGTTTCTCGGATGCAGCATTTTTTGTGGCTGTACAACAGCGATCGGCTGAGTCTTCCGGGCTGCACATCAAAATCCGGGTAATGAGGCGAAGCACGAAGCAGGGGACAAATGACCCAATGTCTACCAATTACTGCTCAATACTGACCTATTGGCGGCGATGTAATTCTTGAGATGATGTGAGCGTGTCACTGTCTGTTCTACGCGGTGATAGACGCCTCTTTCTAATCTCAATCTCATCGCACCGGTGCTATGGAAATCACCCCGGGGCCTACCAGGAAACATTCAGAACATAGCAAGCGCATTCGATGGACTGCCGACCGAACCTTTGAGGTGTTAGCTATTGCTTCAATCTGATATTCTCAGCAGGTGCTTACCTTTGATGTTATTCGGCGTGCTCGCAAAGAAGAAGGCCCACTGCTTGCGTTGCTGGCAAACTTCGGCCAACCTCTCCAAGTCCCAAAGTTCCCCAATGGGCACACCCCATTTTGGCAAGAGATTGACGTGATGATTCCACTCTTTGATTTGTGGCCAAACTTCAAATACAGGGGAGTCCGATGCCACAACGCTGAAGTAGTTGTCGTGGAGGAAGTCAGCAACATCAGGGTGTTGATCGACGCCCACAAAGGTATAACTATAGGCTGGAACCTCGGTCAACTTGACTCTTTCGTCTTGAGTCATCTTGTTGTATGCGTCGATCCAACCAGTACGAATGATCAGGATGTCACCGTACTCAAACTGGGTTCCTTGGGCCATAGCGCAAGCTTTGAGGTCTTTGGCAGAAATCGGATGGCGAGAGTTCACATCGTACGACTCCTTAGCATAGCTCCAGTAATCAAGAAGGACACCTCTTCCGACTACATAGGTCTTAGTGATCTTTCAAGTGACAGGGTCTTAGGCTGGAAACATACCAATACCCTGGGCGGCCCAGGCCTGTACTCCGCATTCGGTGGTCTTCTCGATCTGCTCAGGTGTCGTCTGGGAGACAGAATTTCAGCAAAGCTACGTGTATCGGTTTCTAGAAAGATCACTCACGTTGTTGTAAAATACCCAACTTCCTTCATGGGGTACACTGACCTGTCCGGTCATTGCTGTTAGTTGATGCAGTCTTTGCTTTAGCTTTGGATGGACCATTATCTAACGTGTCGAAATCCATCCCACTTTTGAGTGTTAGCAAATGGTTTCCAATCTTTAAAAGGGCACGGTGCTTACCTGAGAGCCGCTTTGTGAGTTCATTTTCAGAATTTCATCGTTACCTGCCGGTCCGAGAGGCTTAATTTGATGCAGCAATGGCTCTCGGCCAAACATGGGTGGGAATGGCAATTCAGCAGACCAACTATGTGCGATTAGGTAATTGACCTTATTTCAATTGTCAGAGCTTACTTCAAGCCAATGGTAATACCATCCTTGATCAGACTTGCTGCTGCCGCCTTCCGCCTTGGGGTGAGAAGATTTAATCGGCCCAACTATGCAGTGTCAACCTTAGCTAGGCGCCCTTCAACAGCTGTAGATGGCGGAAGTATTGACCTCATCATTTTCACCCCAGAACCATGCCGAATCTTGAGGTGTCCCTGGAACGTGCGGGAGCTGAGATCTTGCAGGCAAGCTATCCGAGTCCGGGTCGTATTTCATAATTTCGACGTGTCCGAAGTCGGGAAAAAAATTCTTAAGAACCGCTTACGAATGGGTAACAGATCGAATGACAAGATATGTTTAAAAAAGTCAACTATTCGACCGGGTTGAAGGTTCCGGAAAAGACTTCCGCTCTTTTTGATGGGTCCTTGAGCTTACTCCAGTGTCGTGCTAAGTACAAAATAACAATGCTCCAATTGGCTCCCGGAACCTGCAAATACCTGACCCAATTCCAGCCAGCAAGCCAAACAACCATGTTAAATGCTACATGTAGTTTCCTAAATAATGTTGAGGAAGTTTCGAGCCCACCCAGTACGGGTTTTCACAGTAGGGGAAAAAGCAGTAAGAGCACCTCGGTCAGTGCCCAGTCCAGTAGCTTCGCAGTATACGTACCCAAGGGTCCGGAATAATAGTTTCCTAAATAATATTGGCTTTCTGTAGTTCCTCTATCAATGAATCCAGATGGACCGGCTTTCGATGCCGCGTTCATAAGCCTCGCCGTCCATAATGCCGTGCACGTAGCTGTAGCCCACAAAATCGTACCCGAGGTCATTGTCAACCGGCTTAGGTCCGCCTCGCGGTCTCACTGTGAATGGTACGCTGCCTCCGTTGAATACCCATACTTCGTCGCCAGCTTGTGTTTCAAGATGTCCCCGTCCGATAAGCCCGGACTTTGTTGTAAAGTACACTGAGTTCTTTACCGTCATCAAGATTTGGTCGTGAATACATTCCTCCCCTGTTCTGTTGCGTACATATTCCATAGCCTGGTGGGCGTCGGCTGCGGATGCGCGCTGAACGGGGTCTCCGACAGCATCTCTAACAAGATCGTTGGTGATGAGCCTCCCAAAGGCTCCTTCGTCGGGTCCCGTACTATTCCATCTTTGCAAGGTTTCCGCCAGCAACTCGTACGATGCGTGTTTACCAATGAGCATCAATCCAGGTTCGACTCTCTCAATTGTGTCGACGAAAACGCCCGTGAGACCTAACATGCCTTTTTGGTGCTGGAATTTCATGCGACGACCACCATCCGCACGAAAATGCATTGAATCGTATGTGTGATGCCAGTATTCTATCTCGTGTATAGGCACTCCCACCAAGTCGATCGCCCACCTGGCCAAACTCGGAGTCGCCCTGACAGGTTTTAGACGGGGATTTCCGACAAGCGGCCGAAGGCTCTGCTCGTCAGTAATGAGGTCAAGCGTCAGGTTCTCGTAAACCTCAGCTACTGGGATCTCATAATCGCAGCTTTCGACTCTGGGCAGGGTGCCAGATGGAAATAGTCCGAGCAGGGCATAGACCTTGTCTCGAGGATCGTGGGCCTGCCGGCCGCGCCATTGCTGCATAGCTGACGACGGCTTGCAGTCGTATTTACAGCCATTCAACCATACCAGAACCGCACTAAGACCAGCTATGGGGCCCTCGGCAAATCCATACTCACAGACTCTGAACACGTCTTGCGGTATCTCAGTTGTGTAAGTCTTGGTTGCTTGAATCAATGTGCTCCAAGGAATTGACTGCGGTCCCCAGAGTAAGACGGCTTCTTTCGGGAGAACTGCCTCTTGAACCGTCCATATACGAGAAAACCAAGAACCTTGGCCGGCCATCAAGTGCATCAATGCCGATATCGGCCCCTTGAATGTTGCTTCGGAAGCCATGCATTGAGGGGCGTGGGTATCGGTAGTGCCCCCCTCCGCCATGTACTTGAGAAATTCGAATAGTGATTCCACATGAGCCGGATCCATTTCCTGAGGAATTTCGCCCGCCCAAAGCAGACCTTGACGGCATCGAGAATAGATTTGCCGCATCAGTGGGACGATGGTCGACTTTTCCGCGCTGTCTTTCTGGTTGATGCAAATTTGGTCGGCCCAGACGGTCCTCGTTTTGTGTTGAAGACGAAGCCGAGATAGTGCTGCATGAAGATTTTTTGTCGTATTGAAAGCCTCACCCGAGACCTCAATCTGGATCTCATTCTCGGAATCCTGGCTTCCCCAGACGTACGAGATGGCTTCGTAGTCTGGCGGATAGAATAATGATGCGACGCGAAGTTGACATCGAATAGGAGCATTCTGGCCGGGCTCTTGAGAAGCAGGCAGTATATCCAGTACACGGAACTGGCCCTCTCCGACTGGAAACTTCCTGAAAATCATTTCTTGAGAGCTCATGGTTGCGTCGTTGTGGATTTGTTGAGCTTGGGGAGCCGTTTGGTGAAATGCTATAGCATGCAAAGTATGAATCTTTCAGAAGAGACAAGTGGCAAGAATCAGCTTGCAAAATCGAGGTAATTAGGGTCCATATGTTGAGGGGCAAGTGGATGGGTCATAATGGGCATTGGCTCGTATCCAAGTGCCGAACTCCCATAGGTGAACTTTGGGCCAGGCAGAGTGCCACTTTGTTGAAGATAAATACGCAATGGGATAGGGCTTCTGACTCGCTTTAATTCTTACGGTCATCCTACAATGTTACGTTTCTCTCCCTCTCCTGCCGAACAAGGTCGCGGTATTGGACCAAAATGACCCGTCGTTTACCAAAGTTCTAAAAGCGGTGGATCTTGTCTTGTTCTGTGCTATAGTGTTACCAAGCGCCCGGTGCTTTCCAATGAGGAGGCCCCGCCATGTGCATTCTAGGCTTCAGCCTGATTTGCAATCAGTCATGCGTAATCCAGCAGATAACACCCTCCGAGTCGGCAGGTCATTTGAGCTGGCTGGTGAGCAAGTAAGTTAGAAGTTAATTCTATCAATTTCGGGTGGATACTATAATTGTTGCAATACGATGAATGTTAAGACATTTGATCCAGCTAAATACCACATGGAAATTTTTGAACAAATTTCCAACAGAAGGTGCATCATCTCATTGCCTTCGTACCGTTATCAAGCTCTGTCGCAAGCCGCCCAGTACTCATTGGAAGGCTTGCTCCATGCATCGCCCCAATTCTCGTTATCAAACTTGGTCCAATGGTCTGTGCCCAGGCTAGCATTCAGAAGATCGCTCTCTGGTAAGACCCCATGTTGTCAGTTGACAGTTCTCTGTGTGGGCAATGAAGAGGCAGTTCGATGACCACTCACTAGTTCTGGCGACGTAGTACCAGTCGTCAGTCCGGTATTCGTTATCGGTCAGGCACGAGAGCACGTCCTTGAGGCCGCCCTTGTCGAAAAACATGGCGTGCTTGCACCAACCGACGTATACTTTGGGGTGGTTATGACTCTTCCCGTTGGCTTCAAACCAGTTGGCCGAGTCGACGGTCTGGGGAATGTTTTCCCAGCCGGTGATTCTTCTGCCCCCCTTGTGAGCCGAAAGCCAGATCTCGTCCTTGTAGTAACTGTCTCCGAACTGTCGCCAGGTGATGACCACATTCTCCCAGTCACTGTGAGTAGTAAGTCAGTTTGACAGCCATCGATGTCACTACTTAGCCACGTACTAGGGATGTCCGTTGCTGTTGAAGCCATCCTTCTCGTAGAACAAGCCGTAAGTGACTCGCAACTCCTTGGCCCCATCACCGCGACCACTACGATTGTCACACTGGCGCACAGTGAAGTACACAGGCATCTGTACACCCCAAGAGTTCTTGAAGCCTTGGTCATTATCGGGCTTCTTGCAGTCGCGGATTGTAGGCCAGTTTTGGATTGGGGCAGCAGGCCTCTTGGAGCCATCTGGGCGCCAAGGCCATGTGGGATAGCACTGTGAGTTGCCGTTTGCGAGAGCGAAGTGGAACATACTGAACATGATGTTGTCAGCATCCGTAGGAGATAATCAGTCTACTGTACGCCGGGTCTGGCCATGATGATGTGGAGGGACCTACGGGGAACCTTTTTCTGCGAACCACCATTCCCACTCTTTGTCGCCGATGTGAATATTGTTCGCTGAGACCGGAGCATTAGTTGAGGCGGTAACTGTCAAGGCAAGTAGGCTAGCAACCAGCCAGAAGGCCTTGAAGGTAAACGACACCATTGATACGAGGATTCTTTTCGATTTCCAGAGGCTGAGGTGTGGTTTTGTTGGGAGTGTTGAATCGGCGGAGACAAATAAACGAGGGTCATTGCCGCCATAAATACTTGTCCCGATTTCCAGCCTTACGGTCGACGTAAAGATTTCATGGACTCCTGCGTAACTTCGTCGCGGGATGAGATATCCTATTCCAACATGTCCCTTGCTGGTCAGCTTTCGAATCGGATTTGCCGATGAAACCTGAAGGTGTCGTAAGGGATGGGAACGAATTGGTGCAAATGACTCGACTTGCAACAAATTTTGAGAGAATCAAATCAATTCAGCCCTTCTGAGACAACTTCGACGAGGAAGGGACCAGTTTCAACACGGCCCAACTATGGCCAGTCCTAAAAGCTACTTTATTTCCTCCTTCGCATGGTCCTGCGATGTAAATCTTCATTGAATGTCACATTTCGAAACTGTTTTCGGTGATGATGAGGTATCGAAGGCTACCTATGTCCAGCGCCGTATAGCTAGACTTATTGCCTTTTGCAAAGGTGTGACGCTCAGCTGGGTCTTCGGTACCCAATTCCTATTCGGGATATGTTTGAGTTCATGACGATGCCGTCTCTGGAGTTGCAACCTCCGTGACTTTCGAGCTTGCACTGGCCAATCGTCGCCGTGAGACACAGCCAACAAGACCTCGTCCCTTCTGGAGCCTTAACGCACGTAAGCCTTAAGCTTTGGTGATTCTGTCAACCCGTCTTGGCTGATTATGCGAAAATTCTAGATGTAGTTGGCTATTGACATTATCCAGTAATCACGAGCTGGTTCTCACCCGCAGCTGACACCCATACTATTGTCTTGGCTACATTCGCTTACCCGTGTGAAATGGCCCTAATTTTCAGCTGGAATAAGGGCTAATAAGATGTCCAAGACCTTGGTCAACTGAGATGGGGATGTCTAGAACCGGGCCGGGGAAACACCCAAGGTAGATAGGCTTTATATCTCGATTGACTACCGCTAGTCGAAGACAAGCAAGCAAACGCGAATCGGGTTAATCAGACGCGTCCGCAGTAGATGTCTGTTTTGTTGTACCTGCCACGGGTCCGTAATCTACTAAGGTTACATGGCCTCAGTAGTATGAATCATCGTGAATCCCCCTCCCATACAACAAAATATCCTCAAAAGGATTCCCCGCCTTCAACACCCTCACCCTTGGCCTCCCCAGATCCCCCCGACTAACATATCCACAACTCGTCTCATTAAACCTCTGCCGTCCCCTTGCAAAAACCTTAAACCTCGGCACAATCGCCTCCCTCCGCTCCACCCGCCCCCACCCGCCGCCGCCCGCGCACGCATTCTGCTCCTGCACATCGACCTCGCCCCACGCCCAGAACCCGTCCTCCGCGTCGCACGGGAAGTCGATCGTCAGCTTCGGCGCGATCTCCGCCGGGACGCCCGTGTACAGCTCGCGGAACTCGGTCAGCAGCCGCCGCGTGAGCGGGCACTCGGCGTCGAGCCAGACGTAGACTTTGGTGGCCTTGGTCTCCTTGGCTGCGAGCGTGTGCCATATGCTGCCGCCGTTGAGGTACAGCCAGTTGCCGCTGTCCTCGCGCAGGGAGATGTTGATCGTGCGGGCGGAGGAGACGTAGCGGGGCCGCGGGTATTTGAGGAGGCGCTGGAGGGTGTGGCCGTTTGTGATGTTCAGGATGCGGGATTCGCGGAAGGAGTCTATGCTTTCGTCGTATCTGGGGGTAGATAATCAGTGATTGTTCAGAGTGATATGGAGGGAGGAATGCGACGTACACCCTCTTGCAAGATACCAAAAGCGACATGTAAGCTTGGTTCTGGCCTTCGTTTAGATCGACCTTCCTCCCTTCCTTAATATCCTCCCACAACTCTTCACATCTCCAGTGATTACACCACGGCGACTGCATCCTCAGGAACCACTCCGGGTGCCATTGTACCTGCGGGGCCTTCTTAAAGTCTCTCCCGAGGCCCAGCTGCCTCTCATCCGGCGCCTCGTGATCCGTCACACACGGCGAATACCGCATGTACCCATCCTCAAGAAACGCGTGCCGTTCGACGCCGCACGCGACCCAAAACTCCTTATATATCTGCTCACGGATCTCGGGCGGTAGCCTGCGGAAAAGGTGTGATTGGCCTTGGGGATAGGCCTCCCGCCTCAGTTCTGGGTCTTTGATTCTCGGGGTTTCTTCGGGGGTGGTATCGGTGTGGTTGGGCTTCGGTTTACATGTCTTTTCGTCCTCTTGTGGTGTAGTCCTCTTCCATAGAGAAGAGGCCTTGAATGAAAACTTGAATGATTTTGCGGATGTTTTGCTGATGGCCAAGAATTCGTCGTGGCGATCACTCATTGTGAATACTTTCTTGAAACCGCCTAGACATGATTTTGACGCCCGGCGGAGGAGGCTTCGATGGCCCATGGCCGGGCCGGGATGAGTTTCCATATCAGGGCCGGACTTCTAACCCGAAAACTGATGAGAGAAGGCCGACAATGGTGAGCACACGGTGTGAAGTTGGCGGGAAGGATCAAACAGGACGTAAGTTTCCGTCAACAGAAGAATCCAGCGGGATGGTTCTTTAGTCAGAGAAGAGGGAACAGAAACCGGCAGGCACTGGGAGAAAGAAAGAAGAAGGGAAGAAGCGCAGGCCAGCAGGGGTGGTCTCAGAGGCAGGGGGTGCAGAGGTTGCGAGAACCGATATATATGAATGTTTGCTTCACAGTGTCTCGGATACCTGCTCTGTCTTCGAGAACAAGCCTCCATGCAACCAATCAAGGCTGTATACTGTTCCACCGTCCCGAGAATCTGGTAAAAGGACTTTTTGTTCAGCCAACCAGTTTCGCAGGTGAGCCAACCGAGTTGCGAGGTCATTCAATACAAGCACAGCGCCCACTTTGTATACATACGTGGGGAGGGGGCGAAAAGGCGCGGCAAGGATCGAGACCACATAAAAGTGGTGTTGGTGTTGGTGGCTCTCGTCTGCCCGGGATGAGCGCGAGCATCAGAACTCCACCCTGTGTAACGGAGGCGAGCAAACACGCATTTTGTTGCCTGGGTTTGGCCCAGAAGGATGGGCGGCGCATGGGGTCATGTTTTTTTATTGTTCCATATTGGGGAGGGTGGTTGTCGACGTGAATGTGACATGCTCATATTTGCTTTCCGGAAGCAGGAAAAAGCAAAGAAAACGGGCACTGTGAACGTCGCAGCGGAACGGGATGGGCGTCACAGTACTTGTACCCCCTTGTCGAGTCCACAGGGCGGACGGGTGCGAAAGGGAGAGGCGGCCGGCCGTGGAACACTTTGCGGGATCGTTTCCCGTGGTGAGACAGAGATCATCTGTGGTAGTTCCTCGTGAACTCGTGGCTTTTGGGTGTGTCACTCGGGTAGTGCCAAAGTGCATCATCGGAGGCGGACGACGGCTCCTGTAAGCCACCCACAAAAAACTCAAGACCCTGGACCTTCCTTCTGCTCCACCAACATGTGCCAGGGGATGCGACGCAGCACCAACAGCTCCAACAGAGGATGAGCCGATCAAGCTGCTAGCCGCTGAGAACTGAGCCGTCACTTCCCGCTGAGATTGTGAGGTGGGCGATGATCTGTCCGGTTGCGTTGATCCAAAATGACTGAAATGACGACACGGATCCTAGTATGCTGGATTTCAGCCAGTTAGCTGGATGTTGCACGTCAGTGAGGAATGAATGAGCCGCTCAACACGGATATGTCTCAGTCCGGGCTTCGCAATTCCCGCGACATGGCCAGCAACCATGCATCCCGTAGCGAGCAAATCAACCACAACCCCCAAGACCTGAGCGTTTTCCCATCTAGGCATTCCAGTCGTCGAGTGGGACGTGAAACCTGTCAGACTGCAGCATAGCAGGCAGCGAGATGATCCCAACGGCCGCCGCGAGCGCACCAATACGCAAATGTCAAACTGTCACGGCCACTTTGCTGCGTGTCCGCGGCACAGCGGTGTTGGCGTGAGATGGGCCGCTCAAGGCGCTACCTGGCTGTCATCGTCAACCTAGCCAGAGGTCCGCAGGCAGAAAAGCGGCGAGAGGCGATTGGCTGATCTACGGGGAACGACGGCGTTCTTTTCTCCTCATCTGGACCCCCTTCTCTCCTTCTCTCCACGCATCGCGGGCTGCAGGACCGTTGTCGATAAGGCCTGGCCGCGAACTAGGCGCGCTAAGTGCCTAGTTCCCGGGGAACGGCGGTCGCTGCGCCGGCCGTCCGACGGGGCTGCCGGATGGGGTGAGGTGCATTTCCCCATTTGAACGAATCAATCTGTGAGAAGCATTCTCCGCCCGGCTGCGTCGACAAGCGGAGGTTTCAGTTGGAATACGATGCAAGAGTGGTTCAGTTGCCGGACAGCAAAGGCCGAGAAGCAGAGATGTGACGGGCGAATCCCGTGTACCTGTTTTTGTCTTTGTGAAATGCCCGAGGGAGGCAGAATCTTGATCGAGTATTGTTGGAACTTGTGCAGAGCCATGCAAGCCTCGGTTTTTTTCGGCCGCATCGTCCTGGGCGGGCAGGTGATGGGGTTCGCCTCTCTCGTGAGCAAATGTGGATGTGATACCCGTGAAAGAGGCAAGGATGCCGCGTTGGGGAGACGGGGTCGATTTGCCTCTCGCACCAACGGCACCTTGTCGTTCCTTCGAAGCCATTCCCACAGCGGCAGCTGGACGTCGATGCAGTATCCGCAGCCCGTACGTACTATGCAGTAGTAGGTGTCAGTGTGAATACGGTTATGGATGTGCATGTGTGCATGAGGCCATTCAGGATCCAGATCTCGCAGCCAGAGTTTGCGACCCGGTCCATGGATGGTCGAGGGAGAGAGATCCTTGTCGTTCTGTTGGTGGCGGTTGTCGTTGGTGATGTGAAGTGGGTGCTCGACAAGCGGCACAGTCACATTAGACGAGCTCGCCCATCCCTGACAAGATTCGATCAAGATGTGACCTTATAGTCTATACCGATAACTGACAGCAGAAACTGGCATCTGAAGGGAGAGATCTGGGAAACAGAGTTGGACCCTGTGAACTCTGTCCAGAGTTTATCGGTTGGGCGTGCCGGGTGGCGTTCGGTGCCTCGTGCTTGTGATGGCTCGCGGACGCAGCCGTGAGGGAATTCGCACCAAGCAGGAACTTTGTTGGGCGGCGAAAGAAGGTAAATAGAACGATGGTGGTTTGACAGGTGGTGAAACTCAATCTGGAGAGATTTAGGCGCGGCAGACAGGGAATTTGCAAAAAGAAACATCGCGAAATTCACAATGTCGCCCAAAAAGAAAGTTGTCGATGATGGAAGGAGCGACACATGCAAGCCCAGGCTGACATAATCCCATCTGCGCAAGCGCTCTGACCTCTCCTGGCTTTCCCGCTTTTCGACAAGCTCGAGGGGCCACCGGGACTAGACCGCTAACGAAGCGCTGAAGCAGCGGGTGGACTTGACCGGGATATCGCGACTTTCCAGCGATTGCCGCTAGCCATAGGGCAGAGGGAATGCTAAAGACAAGCGCTGCAATTGGCGATGCCGGTTGCCGACAGACTTCCGTTGGGGGAGGAAACAGCCAGGTTCAGGGCATCAGATTAAAGGAAACACTGAACTGATAAGGTACGCGATAAAGCATCGGGAGCAAATGAAAAAAAACCAGACGAAAGAAAAGGCGGGGCGCCTGGTCCGTGGCAGAAGCTTGGCGAAGGGAGGCGAACGGCTCGTCCATGCGCTACATCGAGAAAAAAACAACAATCTCCCACGCGAGACCGACGACGAGGACGAAGCGCCAAGCCTCGGATCGACTCCTGTCTGGTCTGATCAGTCAACAGTCGTCGCAATTGACTCGTCCCGCCATACCTTTCGTCCACACGACTGCAACCTTGAGAGCCAACCCCTCCGTTTCATGGCGTTTACTGTCCCAGCAGTGCTTCGCTGTGCCGCGCATAGGGGGGCCACTACGTCATGAAGTTCGCAAAGGAGCTCGAGCAGGACCTCGTGCCAGGTGCGAAAGCCTCCCCCATGCGCCTGTCTCTGGCGATTGTCTTGCGATTTGCTAATGCAGCGTCCCTTGAACAGAATGGCGCGTCAAATACCTCGATTACAAGGCCGGCAAGAAGCTCATTAAGAAAGTGTCTCGCGCCATCAATCGTGCCCATGGCAGTCCGCAAGGGAACTCGGGCAAGCTCAACAACCGCGGAACATCCAACTTCTTCAATAGCGACAATGCGAGGGAAACGAATCCCGACGAGAGAACATCGCTGCGGGAGGGCTCCGCCCCGGTCGGCTCTGCCCGACAGAAGCCCATGACGCCTGCGCGAGCGATCCCTGCGAACCACGAACACCAGACTCTGACGAGTGGCTCGAATGATATGCAATATGGTAGCTTCGTGCATACGCCGCCCCAGCACGAGGGAGCTCCCCTCGATCGGCGGCCGACCTTCGAGCTTCCTGACCCTGCGATGAGGGTGCCTTCCCGAACGACGGACCAGGGTGCTGAAGGGGCTCATGCGCAGGAAAGCCCAATGGCCAGGCAGGCTCTACAGCGCAGCGCATCCATGATGACGGATCCACGAAGCAATCAGCCCTCTGCGCCTGAGCAGACGCACTCTCCTTCGTCAATGAGGCTCCCTCACTCCGCTACCATCGGGTCTATCAGTGGCTCTCCAAGGCGCGGCTTGCGAAGGTGGTTCACGGGTACTTCACCCCTCAATCGGGTCGGGACGAACCCCGAATACGGTATGCAGGCACTGGCAATGGAGCCCGGAGGAATCGAAAAGGCAGAATTCGAAAATTTTCTAGACGATCAGCTGAACACGGTGGAAAAGTTCTACAAGGAGAAGGAGGACGAGGCTGGACAGCGCCTCAAGGTGCTTAAGGAGCAGCTTCACGAAATGAGAAACCGACGAACCCAGGAGCTCAACGCTCAAAAGCAACAGGCCGAGATGGAGTTCATGCACGGTCACCACGGAAATAGCGACGGTGCGAAGAACGGTCCACTCGGCTGGATTGATCCGGTCAGGTCTAAGATCTTCAGACCAGGACCCAACTCCAGGAACTTGTCAAAGATGGCTCGCACTCCGGTGATGCGTCCTAGGGAAGGCCAAGACGCGAGGATGGACTACATTCGCCGACCGCCCGAGCATGAGGTCCCCTACCGGTCCGCGAAGCGCAAGTTGAAGCTTGCCCTCCAGGAATTCTACCGTGGCCTGGAACTCCTAAAGTCCTACGCCATCCTCAACCGGACTGCGTTCCGCAAGCTGAACAAGAAGTACGACAAGGCCATCAATGCCCGCCCTCAGTACCGTTATATGACCGAGAAGGTGAACAAGTCGTGGTTCGTCAACAGCGACGCCCTAGATGGACATATCAAGGCCGTCGAGGACCTATACGCCCGCTACTTTGAGCGCGGCAACCACAAGATTGCGGCGGGCAAGCTGCGAAGCATGGCTCGCAAGCCTAGAGATGAGTCTGGCAGCGCCTTCAGGTGCGGTATTCTTCTCGGTACTGGAGCCGTATTTGGCATCCAAGGCGCCATCTTGGGCGTCCAGCTCTTGTGGGACCATGACGCCCACGTCCGCGAGCAGACGAGCTATCTGTTGCAGATTTACGGCGGTTACTTCTTCATGCTCCTGCTGTTCTGCATGTTCTGCATCAACTGTGCCATTTGGACCAGGAACAAGATCAACTATCCATTCATCTTCGAATTCGACACCAGGAACAACCTCGACTGGCGACAACTAGCCGAGTTTCCCAGCCTGTTTACATTTATTTTCGGCCTCTTCCTATGGCTCAACTTCAGCTCCTACGGTTCGGGCGAGGTGTACGAGTACTACCCGGTTGCTCTCATCTTCGTATCGGCCTTGATCATCTTCCTTCCCCTCCCTGTTCTCAAAGCTAGGAGTCGAAAATGGTTCGCATATTCTCATGTAAGTCAGCATATGCTTGTTGTCATGACAGTATTGCGCCATCTAACGACACTCGACAGTGGCGTCTTTTGCTCGCTGGTCTTTACCCAGTCGAGTTCCGAGACTTCTTCCTCGGCGACATCTACTGCTCTCTGACCTACGCCATGTGTGTAAGTGTACCTCAATGTCTCCCTTCCGTGGCATATCTGACCGTTCATAGAACGTCGAACTGTTCTTCTGCGTCTATGCCAATGCATGGGACAACCCGGTCCAGTGTAACTCGAACCATTCCCGCCTTCTAGGCTTCCTAGGTGCACTTCCACCGATCTGGCGCTTCCTCCAATGCCTGCGCCGATACAGAGACACCCGCAACATCTTCCCGCACCTCATCAACGGCGGAAAGTACACAATGTCCATCCTCGCCGCAATGTCCCTCTCAATGTACCGCATCAACAACACCAGAGGCAACCTGGCCATGTTCATCACCTTTTCCACAGTCAACGCCATCTACACATGTAGGTACTTACCTCCAAGTTCTCTCGGTCCAGCAACTAACAGTCACCCACAGCAATCTGGGACATCTTCATGGACTTTTCCTTATTGGATCCCAACCCCAAGAAGATGCCCAACGGCAAGCCCGACGAGAAGCCCAGCAAATTGCCCGTCCTCCGTCAAACCAGAGCCCTCAAGAAGACGTGGCCCTACTACTTCATCGCCGTCGTCGACCCCATCCTCCGCTGGGCCTGGGTTTTCTACGCAATCTTCACCCACGACACCCAGCACTCCACCATCGTCTCCTTCCTCGTCGCCCTCGCAGAGGTCTCCCGCCGCGGCATGTGGACCCTTTTCCGCGTCGAGAACGAGCACTGCGCAAATGTCACAGCACGCAAGGCCTCCCGCGACGTGCCCCTTCCCTACCCGACGGAGTCTCCCACGCGCTCGCCAACCATCAGCGATGCCGGCAAGGACGGCGCCGTGCTTGAGACGACGGGCACCGCAGACGCACCGGGCACGGCAGGCACCAGCGGGGCTACCACGTCGTCGTCGCGTCGCATGGAGGAGGGCACAGTCAGACGGCGGAAGTCGAGCGTCGCGATGCCGCCACCGCAGAGGACTTTCACCTCGATATTGGCCGAGGCGCATCGGCAGGACTTTGAGAAGAGGAAGAAGCCCATTGAAGAGGTCGAGCCGCAGTTGGAGGAGGCCGGGGGCATGGCCAGCGACGATGGGTCCGGCAGTGATGACGACGATGACGATGATGGGGATAGATCTGATGCGGCGTCTGAGGTGGACTCGATGGAGATTAGAGAGGCAAGGGAGCTGGGCGACGACGCACGGCAGGGAACCAGGCGGGCTTAATAGTAATTATAAGGCTTTAATGTCTGTCACGATAATGAGACACTTTTCTAGACAATTGCTTTGAATTGCATCCATACTGATGCGTCTTGTGCTGGTACATATTCTACAAGCCATTTCATAAATCATGCTCTGTCCTCGTCTACTCTTTACGCCGCGCTGGAACTCTTACTTCTATATACGCCTGTCCTCTCCAGCAACTGGCTCCTCTCAGTGCCACTCGCCGTCAATCTTCTCCCAGTGGTCCAAAAAGCCCTTGAAGAACTTGACGCCCAGACCAGGGTCCAGCGCACCGGTCGTCGCACGGATGGAGTGCATGCTCAGCTGCGGCAGGCCGGCGTCGGCGGCCTTGACGCCCATGGCGCTGCTGAGCGCGGGGCCGACGGTGCCGCCGCTGCGAGTGTCGTTGCGGATCTGGAAGGTCTGGGTGGGCGCGTCGGCGAGCTCGCCGACGCGCTGGAGGATGGCGGTGGAGACGGCGTCGGTGGTCATGTGGCCGTTGCTGTCGCCGCAGATAGCGATGCCGACGTTGAGGCGGGGGACGTGGTCGTCGAGGTAGTAGCCGAGGAAGTTGGGGTTGCCGGCGTGGGTGACGTCGGCGGAGACGAGGAAGGAGGAGGCGTAGGTCTGGCCGAGGGTGTTGGAGCCGAAGGGGACGTCGGCGGCGGCGGAGAGGGCCTCGACGGCGCGCTCGATTGTGAGGGGCAGGAAGTTGGAGCGGGCGCCCTGGCGGAGGAGGGAGCCGATCTCCTCGTCGTCGAAGAGGGCGACGAGCTTGATGACGCCGTCGGAGGGGGCGGACTCGGCGGCGAGGAGGCCGGTGAAGGCGGCCCAGGAGCAGAGCTTGTCGTCGATGCGGCCGCCGAAGATGAACTCGCGGTCGAGGCCGCCGGTCTGGGCGGGCTGGGAGTCGTAGAGCTCGAGCTCCCAGTTGACGATCTGGGTCAGGGAGGCGAGGCCGAGTTCCGAGGAGATGAGCTTGACGAGCTTGGGAGGCTGGGTGTTGACGAAGGAGCCCTTGGGGCCGAGGGGCTCGACGGGGGTGTTGGAGGCGGCGTCGGAGGAGCTCTCGAGGCCGATGATGGGTACGGCCTGTGTCTCGGGGTTGTTCTGGCCCATCATGCCGACGCCAAAGTGCGGCGCGAGGGTGGGGATGCGGGCGATGGGCCAGTCGAGGCGGACGAGCTTAGTGGTGGTCTTGTTGGACTCGTCGCGGACGATGACGCGGCCGCCGATGGAGAGGTCGCGGTCCCACCAGGTCTGGTTGAGGGCGCCGGCGTAGGGGGCGACGCCGAGCTGGAGGTAGCCGGCGCGGGTGGGCTTGGTCGAGACGGGCTTGAGCTTGGCGGTGAGGGCGTCGATGTGGCCGGCGATCATGGCGACGCCGTTGCCGGGCTTGTAGGCCTCGCCGACGGTGAAGGCGATGAGGCCGGAGCCGTTCTTGGTGGTCCAGTACTTGCCGCCGGGCTGGAGCTTCCAGCTGTCGCGGGCGGGCAGCTCGGTGAAGCCGGCGGCGGCGAGCTTGGTCTTGAAGTAGGAGACGGCGTGGAAGATTGTGGGGTTCTCGGTGAGGAAGTCGACGAAGGGCTGGGTGTAGGCTTCGGGCTTGCCCGCGGCGACGGCGCAGAGCTTGCATGCGGCCGGGGAGGCGGCGCGGGAGGTCTGCTTCACCTCGCTGTAGCGGAGGGCGTTCCAGCAGGACTCGCAGACGGGATTGGAGGCAGCGGGGCGGCCTTCCATGTCGGCGAGGAGGAAGGGCTTAGACGCCGTGACGGGGATGGTTGTCGAGGCGGCCATCGAGGGCGCGGGCGATTGCGAGCGGGAGAGGGCTTCGGCGGCTTCCATTGCTTGCAGGCGGAGAGAGAGGGAGGACACGCGGGTGCGGAGAGAGTCGGGGGTGTGTTTGGTCATGGTTGGAGGGTTGTTGTTGGTGTTATCGCGAGGGAGGGCGTTGTGGTGTTTTGGTTGTGTTTTGATGCAATGCACACGTGCACCAGCGATTGAACAAGTCAGCGGTGTGATTGCGCGAGATGCAATATGCGGTGAGCTTGCTGGAGACGGTATGCCTGCGGAGGAAGAAGAGCGCGAGCCGGGGAATGAGGAGTGGTTGACGTGGGCGAGGATGAAGCCACCTGGAGCTTTGGAATCGGATGTGCGAGCCGCCGGAAGCTTCAACGCAACAGACACCCAAATCGGGGGGGAAAGCACGACTCGCCGATTGACTCAAGCCGATACGGGCCCGGCTGCTGCCCACCTCAGCTCCACCTGCTCGTATTGACCGAGCAAGCTCGTTATCTTATCGCGTTCATGGTTGCCATGGTGGTGGCTGGTAATAGTGTCGCTGCGTCGCGCCGGGGTTCGGGAGGGGGTCACTTGACCATATTCAGAAGGTCACAGGCGCTCAGGATGGCCGAAGGAGGCGGAGGAGCTAGACATTTGTCTGTGGTGCCTTGCGCCAAATAAGCTGCCGTGATTTGGTGGACGATGGTGTCATTTGGAATGTTCACGCGACGGATTGTGAGGACGCGGTCGCACCGCCCAATCCAATCCAGGCGCATCTTCATCAGCCACACCTGTGCTGAATGTGGCGGTGCGCCAACTTAATGTGGCTTGACGAATTTGCGAACATCACCTACACCAAACTACCAGCTCCAGCTGGAGCATCAGGAACATCGATTGCTCTTCAGAAAAAACTATTAAAAGTGTGGAGCGCTTTCTACTTTATTAAGGTACCGAAAGCTGAAGTCTCGTACTCGGTATACCAATCTTAACCTCCCACCTTCCTACAAGTTCCTTTCTCGCTCTCAACAACACCGGCAATGGCTCACCGGGCGCAGGTAGAGTTGAAAAGTCCTTAGCGGTTTTTGGCCTCCTCCATGAGACCTCGCTTCCGCCTTGTATCTGAAGATCACCCTCGACGTCAAAGTCAAACCTCAGAACCAGCATCGCAACAAGTACCATGATGCCCCCTGTTGCATACCACCTTGCGGGACACACATGTGGCGCAACGCCCCAAACCGAAAATGCGTTTGGCGGCAACTCGCTGGCAGCAGCCACGACTGGCGTAGCTGTCCCTGGCCTCTTCATCTTGATGAAACGGTACGGGTCGAAGTCGGCTGCGTCAGAACCCCAAGTTTCCAGATCGCGTAGCGTAGAGATGCCATTGATTTGCAAATAGCTCCCCTTCTTCAACAAAACTGGCGTGTCTTCGGTGGTGATGGTCGTGTTGCGGAGGATTTCACGGATGCCTGCCTGGACAGAGTTCATACGCTGCGCCTCCTGGATGGAAGATAACAGGAGAGGACAGGCCGTCTTGAGTACTGAAATGTTGAGAGCCCAGTCAGCTTCATCACCTTTGGTGGTAGCCTTGCGGACTTCTTCGCGGATCTCCTGGACCTATCTCGGGCGGGAAAGAATTTCGTAGACAGCCCAGAAAGCCGTGGGTGCGTAATTGGCGAGCATCGCCATGTCGAAGCCGATGTGAATGCGGCCCATATCGCGAACCGTAGCGCCATTTTCTTTCAGAACACGACATCTACCTTTGGCAACACCCGAAGCTTCCTCGTGGCCACCACTTCGAATGTAATTCTCATACCGGACTGCGTTGCGCTCCCTCGCTTGCAAAGCATCCCTGGCCAGGATCTGAGGCATCAGCCCTCCCATCACAAGGATGTGAGACTTTTCTGCGAAGGTCCTAACATGTACGTCAGGTCATGATTAATCAAGAGATAATCTGTTCCACATACCAGAAGTCTGCCTCATGTTCGGGGTCACGGAAGGGATTCATTGGCCCAAACATGCCTTCTGAAGCAGACAGCGCGATGAGATGCTTCAGCCACGTGTAAAGCTCAATCCGAGTCCCAGCTCCCGCTTTCGCCCTCATGGCCAGCTCTTCAACCAGCTCCAAAGTTACTCTCGCCGACACCAAGGCCATGGCATCCAGATCAGGGCCAGCAGACATCGAAGCCCGCTGGACCCTGTCGAACTCCTTGGCCTCGGGTGGGCCTTGAAGGTGGTCTTGGATCCTCAGGACGATATCTCCCAGTCCGCTCAGCGTCTTCGAGGTCTTGGCGGCAAACGGCGTGAAAGAAATGGTCTTGGCATGGCGCTGAATGGCGCTGATGAGCTTCCGCTCCGAGATGACGTAGAGCTTGAATGTGAAGATGGACAATGTGAAGATGCCGGACGGTTGGTTCGACCTAACAATACCTGTCAACGCAGGTGTTCCATGTGACATGAAGAAGAAACGCACGCAACGTCGGTGTAGTACCACCCAGCGCCGCGCTTGGAGATACCGATGAGGTGTCCGATAAGTGGGATGCGTGACCTAACATACTGTGGCTCACGCGAATCTCGTGCGAAGAAGACGAAGATGTCCAAGGCGTAAGCGCCTGCGATGATCGTAAGGATTACCCCCAGCAAAGTTATCAGGGCCATTTTGTATTCGCGATTTGGATAAACGCAAGAGACGCGACCAACCCATAACTTGACGGTCTCACGATTTTTGCAAGGAGGGCTGAGACATTGCGCGATGCCGTTTTGGTGCTAGGCCCATCATCTCGCAACGGCGGGCACATTTTGTCTTGTCCAAATCGGCTTGTCAGCTTGTCTCCTGAACCCGCTGGACAGTCCGCCAACCACCTCATGCGTGCGATGCCAGGGAAGCGGTTCTCAAAATGTTGCAAAGTCAGCTCTGAAGTTTCCGCTACCTCGGCTTCAACGTTGCCAAATAAATAGAGCAAGCTTACCATCATTGTGAAGTTAGCCCCAGGGTCCGAGTCGAATGGTCGACGACTAGCTGGGTCCGAGGCCCCGAGCCGGCACTGAAGCGCCGCCACTTGGTCCAGCCCCCGCCGAATTTGCTGCAATAGCGTGAGAATCGACACACGGGTTTTTTCTCGTTCAATTAGAGCGATGAAATATGGCAGACTTTACCTATATCAGGAACTACAAAAGACTGCGCCAAACTCCGGGGCACGCGGGTTGCGGAATCCGGGGTGCGGGGTGTGTGGGGTTTGCTGGACAAGACGACATATTTCTGTTTTATATACCGGGGACAGAAATCCCCTCGTTTCGAACTGAATGTGACATCACGCAATTCATCGTCGAATGCCGGGTAGGCCCGATCCGCCCTGGCCCGGTCCGCATATCAAGCTGTCTGGGGTGATAATCGAGAGCATCACTGAGGATCCATTGAAACCTTCTCCTCCCTCAGCGTAGCTATGCAGATGGTGTTTTGCTACTTACAGACGCTTACGTAGCTGTTCTTGGAGCTTCACGTAGTATTCCTCCGTAATAGAAACAGTCGACTCTTCAGCATGTCGTCCCATGAAAGACAACCCCCCACCCGCCATGCTGCATTAGCACGGTGATACAAGGCGACTGCGACTCTGCTGAAGCTGCGTAAGCTCTTCTGGCAGCGCTGTTTTATGGGAACCTTCGACACGCTCGGCGAGCTACTCCAACTCCTGTCAAGATTGTCGCCGCCAAGGGCATCATGACTCGTGGGATACAAGAGGTGATGAATGGCTCACAGCCAAGTGTTGCGACACGGGGTGACCAAATTGAACTGAAGAGTGTTCCTTCAGCCGTCATCAATCTGTACTTAAGGTCTTGAGATGCCCTCCTCCGTAAGTCTCAGAGTTGGGTGATCTATTCTCACTTTACCGCTTACAACACCTTGTCTTACACATTCCCCATTTCTTGAATTTGTCGAAATGCATACGGCTTTTACCAACGGCGGATTACGTGCCTCTCCTCGTGATGTGTGGGAGAAGCACATCTCTGAGCTCATCGACCAGGCGCAACAGCACCAATCGCCTTACACAGAGACCTTCGGACCCCATACTATCATGATCCACCCTTCTGTCTACTCACCTAAGTACTTTCCCGAGACCTGGTGGTATGCGCAGCACCTTCCGCCAATTGTCAACAAGGGAAGTTTCCTGGAGGTCGGCGTGGGATCGGGGCTCACATCACTGTCCGTTGCCGCGGCTGGATCTCCAGTCTTTGGGGTAGACATCAACCCCGAAGCCGTCAACGTCACACAGAGCAACTTTGAAATCAACCATCAGAAGGGGACATTCGTCGTCAGCAATATCTACCAGAACGTCAAGGGCAAGTTTGACTTCATCTATTGGAACCATCCATGGCAGCATGATTCGAATATCCCACTGCAACTGAAATCGGAGAAAACTCTGGACTCGGAGTACCAGCTGTTACGAAGATTCGTCGGTGAGGCACACGCGTATTTGACGGAGAAGGGCGTGATCCTGCTCGGTACAAGCGCGTATGCAAACCATGAAGCAATCGTCCACATCGCTCGGGAGAATGGATACTCATGCCAGGAGTTGGCTAGGGGAAATGAGTCGATTGGAAAGGGGGTTTTTGAAGAATATTACATTCTCGAGCTGAAAAGGCAATGAGCGCTTCGTGAAGAGAGCAGTCTCAAATGTTTTAGTTTTCATGGGTCAATTAATTGCAATCCGATCACCAATCGTGCCTACTTCCCCTTCTGAAGTTGAATTAAAAAAAAGTGCACTCAGCAATGTGGTTATTTCGTTTTGCCATGGGCTTGTATTTGAGCTCTTGAAAGGTCAAAGCAGAAAGAAAACAGTGTCGCCCCGAGCACGCACATACCAGTCTTCGATGTTTTCAACTGCTTTCGAGAGATCGAATAAATGGCAGCATGTATCGCTGTCTCTTGTTGTCTCCTAGAAAGAGGAAAGTGGCTGGGAGGGGACATTTCCAGCCTAAGGTAGGCAACATTTGCTTCCGGCCCCCTTTTCCGGCTAGCACTGAGTAATAGCGCTACGCCACCCCAGACCCGTTGTCAGCAACTGGGACTCGACTACTACACCGAATCTTTCAGGCTGGATGTGAACCCAATGACGGATCGTGGTGGCTTCCGTGCTCAGACTGGTCCGTCATATCAGCTGCCCTAGACCCAGACTATCGCAGAATGGCAGGTCCCTAGCCACCTGGACAATCGTCATATTAAAGACACTTCTGACGCTGGATACCTTGAGCCGGTTGCACGACCTGCTTCGACTTTCCGCTACATGCAGAACGCACCCGAAACATCCAAAAGTACTCTCTTCGCGCCGGAATCCGTATTGGCTTTCCTGCAATAGAGGCACAATGGCCGACGGCTGGGTTGTCGACATATCACAAACGATATCAACAGCTCAAACAACAACCTCCCCACCGATGCCATCGCCAACGCGACCCTTAGCGAGCCTCGCACAAACCTCACCTTCGAATATTCGACTTTCCAATGGCGTCCTTGGTGGCATCATCGCAGCCTCAGTCATCGTCGTCGTTCTGCTCACTATTCTATTGTGGTATCTTTGCAGAAGCCACGGCCGGGCTAAGGCAGCAAAAGCGATCGACTCGGACGGGTCTGACGGATCAGCGGGAATCGATGCGGAAGGGCCGAGCAGAGGAGAAACCTCGTTCAACAGACCATTGGGAGACAACCTCGCAGAATTGGAACCACGGGGCCGAGATCCGACACCTAGACCGCTGCTGGCGACGACGGTTGAGGATCAAGCCGAACCAACGAGGGCAGCACTCCACAAGTCATCCGGACCCGATAAACGAAGAAGCGGCCGGGAACCCAGGTTTTCTGAAGAGAAGGATACCTCAATCTCACCAGCAACCTTACTCTGGGCTAATTTTGATGGAGATTTTAGGTGGTATCTGTCACTACCTTACGAGGATTAGGGGTTATTTTCAAGTTTTTGCTTTGGGTTTGTTATTTGAAGTAGTCTATCCTTGTGACGCAATTAACCAGCACAAAATAGCTGGGCTGAAAGAGCCAAACACAAACGCCCTGATCATCATCTGCTCTTGCCATTCCACTCCTAACCTTCCGTCCTCCGCCGCTGTCTTCGTCCCCGCTACTGTCGTCTCCGTGGTCTGTTTCCATCAGCTTCCGCCTCTGTCAACACCATCGTTTCTGTCCCCATGATGGACTGGCAGTGTTGCATGTAGGATCCCTGAACTGATTCTCGGACTGATCATTTCTTCGGTCTTCCATCTTTTTCGTCTGGTCCCCGGGGAATCTTCTCTTGGATTTCGGCGTGTCGCGGGACTTCTGTGGAAGCCTCCCTCTTTTCCTGATTGCGGGATGGAGTGCCCGGAAGGTTAGCTCGTCCTGCACCTAATCTTCTATCTCCCCTGGGGCGAGGATGCACGATGGTGTTGTAGCCGTGATCTTGATCCAACGTGAAGTCCATACGCTGGGAGCTCGGGATGGACCCTCCGCTGGGGCCTGACTTGGGTATCTCGTTGGGGTAGATAATAGCATCAAATCTCTCCACAAGCTCAGCTCGGATGCGCTCATAGAATAAATCAGCAACCCAACGGGGCGTCCAGGGCGGAATTGAAACAGCCCACCAGTCGGAGTGATTGCCTGAAAAGAGCATGAGCTTTAGCGTTGACGGGTTGCTCCCTGCCGATGCACACAAAGTGATGGCAGCCAGGGCAGCACCGTTTGGAGACTGCCAGAACAGGAGGCAATAGTTTGAAGTCATCACAAATTGACTTGTCGGGCAACTCCTGAAGCGGATGGGCTGGCTTGCCTGACTGATCAGCAACCGCATCCCAGCAATTGGCGAGGCAGTGAAGACCAGCAGCGATCTGCTCGGCATGGAGATTTCCTCTTCTGGGGCGCTTCAATCCCTCCTTTTCGCTAAGGAACTCCAGATTCTTGATTTTGTGAAGAATCTTTACCTGGTCAGTTGGAGAATAGGGCTTGTTGTCACTCTTCTTGAAGACCTTGAGGAAGGCTTCCAGGGTCATCAAAGACCGCGAATCATCGAAGGCGACAGTGGTCTCGATGTAATCAAGAGGTACCGCGCGAAGGACTCGGTCATAGAATTGATCGAACAACGTGTTTGTGACAGAGACGGCCCGAACGGCATCGGACTGGCGGCAAAGGCTGCCTGACCACACGTTAAGTGCTTCCGCCCAGCTCCGATGTCTCTGACAGTCGTCAATGCTTGATAGCTCTGACTGTGGGTCGACTTTTGTGTCTTCAGCGTCAGCTCCGATATCTTGCTTGGTTTCAGACCCCTGCGTCGCATCTGGCTGGGGCAATACAGCACCACCTTGGCTGCGTGAAGCTAGTTTGACCCTCGGAGAAACAAAGGGATCCGACAAAGCGGGCCCAGAACGTCTGCTGTTCTTCTTGTTGGTAACCAGCTTCCATTCACCTTCTGAGCCCGGCGGGTCTGGCGATGCATTCGTTGAAGGGCCTGATAATGACATGCCTGACAATGCAGCGGTTGGTGCCGGTGAACCACTAGGAGTTGCAGGCGCCATGGGATGTCCTGAACTACCTCCGGGTCGACGGCCCGTGGACGAGCCACCTCCAGTTGAACTGGGTCTGAAGCTGCGATCGCCTCCAGTCAGATGATCGGATAGAGTTCGGG